ATATATCTTATTAACCAAGCGCGAGGGCCGTACTGGGAGAATATCGGCCCGAGGTCTTGACAGTACGGACCGAGCGCAGCGAGGTCCGTACAAAAAAGACCGAGGGCCGATATTCTTCCAGTACGGTCCCGAGCAAGCTTGGTTAATAAGAGATTTATTATACGACTGAAGTTCAAAGGGACACAAGTGTGGTATCATTCGGGACCATTCGGGACAGTGCCCGGTCCAATACTTAGAGAATATTGGACCGGCAATAGAGCATTTTGATTGGTTGATTTTAGTTATTGGCCCTCTGACTGCCCGAGTCGTGTAATAAATGAAAATATCGGCGTACCTTTAATTGAGTAAATACGGGAGACAATCTGTATGAAGTCATCAAAACACAAGGTTCCCTTCTTGTTGTTAAAGCGGGCAGAGATGGCGTTCAACGTGGCTTGGCTAAGACTGATACCTGACGAGAAATGGGAAATCATACTCCTCGTTAAGGACATGAAAAAAAGAAAAAGGCAAATAAGAGCCAGTAATATAGCTCTCACTTATTACGTGGGCTATAATTGGTCGTTTTCTCGGTCCGTACTGTAAGGTACGGATACGGCTTCGCGCTTGGTCCGTAAATCCGAGCGCAAAAAGGTCGGTCCGTAACTAAAAGTACACATCTCAAACTCAGTTGGTAAGAAGTATTAGTTTCCATGCACTGCACAATGGCTTCTACAGAACGAATCTTTCTGTCTAAACAAGCGAGCAGGGACCCCGTTTAAGAAATCACGGTAACTTTGCGGACCCGAAGCCAATATAAGTATTGATATGAAGGGAAAGTAGAGTTGGGTCAATACTTGTTCGTTCTGTTTTCTTTCCTACAACATTTATTGCTTCAATTTCAAAAGTATTTTAAATAAGCTTGATTGCCTCCCGCTGGTAAGGAAATGAGCCCGCGCTCTTTCCCGCGAACTCGGAAGGATCGAAGACTGGACCCGAGAAAAGCACAGAAATCGAACCGAGAAACTTATCTTAGCCCCGATTGGCTAGTTTGAGTAATTTGAATTTGCTTTAATGTCAATTGATCAGAATGTGCCTTACATAATGAACCATGCAATTCACTCACAAATGGAGATAATTCAATTAGCCTTTTTCCTCCAACACTGACATGTTGGTTTAGAAACAAAATATAAAGAGAAGTTTTTACCTTGCTTGAAAAGGGCTAATCGCAGCTCGCACATGTCCATGGAACCACTGCCGTCTGCGTCGAATTGAGTGAAGACTGTCTGCAAAATACGAGCAACATCTTGGTCAAACTGAAGTACGAAAAACTTGTTCAGGTAAAGAATTCCACTTGGCTTTCCTTGTTCTATTTAGGCGTGAAAAGAACTAGACTACAACGTTCATTTCATCTCCCCTCAACGTGGCTCTGCACCGATGGTGCGGATGTTTTCGTTATCTTTCCTTAACGATTAATATTGATATGCTAATTGCGATTCATCGATAAAAAAAATGGGGGAGGATATTTCGACAAACGCATATTGTGATAATCTGTGAATTTACTCACCAACAGAGATTTAATCAGTGCCCATACTTCCTTGAATTCGTCATAGCCCAGCTTTCCAGTCTTGTCTTCCTATTCATTGTTAAGTAATACAATTCTGCCCGACCAAATCAATTCACAGTGATCACGATTCCTCCAACACCCCAATCATCGTCATCATTATCACCATCATCATCCTATTCCTCCACTGATAAAACGCAAGGGAGGTAGGGGTAGCGGGGAAGGGAGAAGGGGAGAGGGGAAAGGGGAGAANGTTCTTACGAATTGATAGGAAAAGATTCGGGTTATAATCTTCCAAAAGCTTTCAACTGATAAATAATATAAAGTGACACAGAACAAGAGGATACATCCTTAAAATCAATAATACTCCTGGGGTGAAAAAAAAAATCAATTCATCAATCAATTGAATCAGTTTTGATAAAACTCAATTTGACACTGTCGAGAAATCAATAAAGATGAACATAACTGGTAGTGCAAATAATTCATTGCGATCATGCTATCACTGAATATCATTAACAATGTTCCCATTCAATCTTGTGGCTGAGTACACTCCCAGCTCCGTGTTTTTCTCTCGAAATCGAGTTAGAGGCACAAATAGAAATACAGTCCAGCAGTGCTAATTCAAATTGGGAATAAAATAAATAAAGAAATCAACGGGAATTTAAGCAGTAGACATCCAACTAGGCGTCTCTTCTTGTTCAATGTTTCCAGGTCGAATTGGAATTTGAAATGTTAGTTTTTGCGAGAGGAAAAGCGAAGGACCCGTAGAAACAACCCTCGAATCAAGGACGAGAAACAACAATAAACTCAATCCACTTGTGAAGCCAGGTCCAGAAATTGAACCTGGGCTGAAATGATGGTAGGCGATCGCTTTCACCACTGCACCATCCCTGCTCCCTTAAACAAACAAAAATATAAAAAAACCACCTATATTACCACCCCCTTTTGATCTTACCTGCATGCTTCTATACTGAATTCCCTGCCAAACATAACTGGATAAAAAAAGTAAAGAAAATATCTCTTTTGAGCCTTAACCCTGTACAAACTAAGCGCTATCTACTGCGAGGATCGTGCATCATACGTATAAATATGTATCTTCTTCACACTGTACTATTTACATCTTCTATAGTAATGAAAAGGAGTAATAATAAAATAAGCAAAACCTTTATTCACTAATAATCACTAAAAGTATTTACAAAAATGATGATAAAAATTGGCCCGCTTCGTTTAATAATAATGATAGCGATTATTTACAATTTTAAACCATATATCTAATTATTTAAAATTTTTTAAAATAATTAAAATTAATGTCCACGATAGAGGATTGATTACAATATCAGAGAGAAGAAGAAAAAAAAATAATAATAATAACAATATTTTAACAGGGAGCCCACTTCACCAAGAGGGGCTCTTCAGTGAGGCCCTGCATATTTTACAAATGAATTACAATTAAAAAAAAAAATTGATAAGAATAGAAACTTACTTTAACTTGACAATGCATGTTTACCTAAAATGCATGTTTAAGCTTAGATTTAAGATAACAAAATTCAGCGGCGTCACGTAAATCTTGACTTAAAGAGTTTCAGACTACGACGCTCTGATACGTAAAACGTTCCAAACGTACCCTTCTTTGTTGCTGTTGTAAGAATCTGTTGCAGCTCAAACGCGTCAATCTCTCTGTCCTAAAGAAACACACACACACACAAAATAAAAAAAAAAAAAACGTTTTTCAGAAGATCTCTTTCTTTACTGAATCTGGACCACACGAGTCCACTGACTCCCCCAAATGATCAAATTTACATTTCTCTCTAAACTTGGCACTACAATTTGGCGTTAAATCTGAGAAGTTTTCTATCAGTAAACATACCTCTCCAGCCAGCTTCTGGAACAGCGCCTTAAATGAGGCATCCGCTGCTTCATCCTCTTCAGAAGTTCGGTTGGATCTATACTGTAAGGAATATCGATCATCAAAAAATAAATAAATAAATAAATAAATAAATAAATGCGAGCTTCTGATAGAAACGAAGGGCGTAAAAAGAATTTGTCAAAATATTCCTCGTCTTCGCAAAAAAAAAGAAGTGATTTTCCCTTGAGTTCTGGTTAATTCACATACACAGCTTCCCTATCTTTAATTGATAAATTCTTGCACTGCTATCATTTTTGTTTTCTGGGGTGTGTTAATGTACACCTCATTTTCTCCAATTATTTAAGTTGAATTACTTTTTTTCAGCAAAGATCAAACTGTACACTTGTACTCACAGTATTTTCTGATACGTATTTTATGCCCTTTTCAGGAATATTTGCCGAGTGAAAGAAAGAAAGTAAGTAAAGTACAATCAGTGAGCTCAACTTAACCACCATAATTACAGCAAAAACCAAAGTAACCACACCGGAAAAACCGAATAAAGGAAAATACCTTTGAATTTGTTCTACCTCACTCCGTAGTACAGAACTCACGCCGTTCTCTCCACCATTCAGACACAAACTAAAACCAATCGCGATCTCGCCACCCGCGCTTTTTCCTGCGCTTTGGCAGTTACCGTGATTTAACTGTGCGTTTTCATCGGCTAATGATGTTAATCTTTGCTCCGGGTGTGATGACTCTGGTTTGGGTTTGGGACATTCAATTAAAAAACAACACTAACCTGGTCTCTGTACATTATGCCAAGGTATATATCAAGCACTTAAAAATTACTTGGAGCATTTTATAACATTAAAGAGTGCTATGATGATTAAAGCATGAAAAATGTAAACAGACATAAGGCACTTACGCTAGCTTTGCGTTCATCCCTGGACTGAATAGTTGTCTTCACATCAACTTGCCTGAGATAAAGAAATAAAACAATAACTAATTCTCAGTCTAAAATAAGCGCTAAGGAATGGGCGCTTCACTGAAACAGCAAAAAGTGTACTATACCGTTATTATTTTAAACAGAAGAACAAGGGCAAAAAAAGGCGACTTCCTGATTTCCTGGGAAGATGCGATCGCTAATTTGGCGACCTGTGCTCAAAGGTAACGTAGTAAGCTTTAATATTTTTAATGGTTTGTGTATTTAGTCTTAACCCTTTGCACCCTAACATTGGTATGCATATTCTCTGCTCTGTTCTCCAGACATTTCCAATTGTACTGACGCGGAGAATTTGTTTAACAATCGGGAGCTTCTTTGGTTAGCGACCATTTCCTTTATTCTTGTGACATGATGTCGAATTCAGTGGGGATTTTTCAAGGAGAAATTTAGAAGCTAGTCACTCTCAAAAGCTAAAGGGTTTATTCTGAGTGAATAAACATTTACACACATCATTACAAGAAAAAAAAAAAGATAATTTTTCCCAAACCCTCCGCTTTAAAAGGGAAAGCATCGGGGAGGAGGAGGCTTTTACCATTACTTCCTTTATTAGTTACTGTAATTTCGCGCCACAAGAGCTCACTTCGATCGAGCGTCGTAAAACCAAAACCAAAGTAATCACAACAGCCAATCAGAGGAAAGGAACTTATTACTTATTGCTTTTAATGAGAATTAAAAGTATGAGTAAGCAGCTTGCTCAAAGCGCGGGAAAACGAGTGTGATCAAGTCGCGGTGGGTTTTGGGTTTGAATCTAATTGGTTGCGGAAATGAAGGCGCGAGTTCTCTGGACCAATCACAAAGCGTGCACAAGCAAAGCGAGAGTAATCCTTGACCTAAGATTTCCACACTTTACAGCGTTCGAGCAAAGAGCGCATTAGTGAGCACATAGCGAAGAGCGACATACCCTGTCTTGACAGGTTTTTCGGAGTAGATTCGTACAATGAAGTCACCATTGTGGCCAGGCTCAAACGTGGTTGGAATAACAAGATAAGAGCCAGGATCGAGTGTGTACCGTCCGGTAACTTCACGGCTGTTGATAAATACTGGAGACCGGGCAGTGGAGGCATGGTAAGCAAAAAAGTCTCGATCGGCCCTCCCACCTTTCAAATCATCGTCTGTGATCTGGTAAAACAACAACAACAACAACAAAATATAGTATTTTTATATTCACAGTCAGTCATCTATTACTATACAGTAATAAGTTAATAGTCCAGTTTACAGTTGCGTCCTCGGTTGCCAAGCCTGTGAACTGGAGTGAGGCTAAGGGTGACCTTCTTATGATACAAACATTGCTGCTTTTCAAATGAAATTTACTTTGTTATCATGCTAACTAGATACAGGTCTTGTAGTGTCCAGGCCTCCAAGACCACGCCCNCATCATTACAAGAAAAAAAAAAAAGATAACTTTTCCCAAACCCTCCGCTTTAAAAGGGAAAGCATCGGGGAGGAGGAGGCTTTTACCATTACTTCCTTTATTAGTTACTGTAATTTCACGCCACAAGAGCTCACTTCGATTGAGCGTCGTAAAACCAAAACCAAAGTAATCACAACAGCCAATCAGAGGAAAGGAACTTATTACTTATTGCTTTTAATGAGAATTAAAAGTATGAGTAAGCAGCTTGCTCAAAGCGCGGGAAAACGAGTGTGATCAAGTCGCGGTGGGTTTTGGGTTTGAATCTAATTGGTTGCGGAAATGAAGGCACGAGTTCTCTGGACCAATCACAAAGCGTGTACAAGCAAAGCGAGAGTAATCCTTGACCTAAAATTTCCACACTTTACAGTGTTCGAGCAAAGAGCGCATTAGTGAGCACTTAGCGAAGAGCGACATACCCTGTCTTGACAGGTTTTTCGGAGTAGATTCGTACAATGAAGTCACCATTGTGGCCAGGCTCAAACGTGGTTGGAATAACAAGATAGGAGCCAGGATCAAGTGTGTACCGTCCGGTAACTTCACGGCTGTTGATAAATACTGGAGACCGGGCAGTGGAGGCATGGTAAGCAAAAAAGTCTCGATCGGCCCTCCCACCTTTCAAATCATCGTCTGTGATCTGGTAAAACAACAACAACAACAACAAAATATAGTATTTTTATATTCACAGTCAGTCATCTATTACTATACAGTAATAAGTTAATAGTCCAGTTTACAGTTGCGTCCTCGGTTGCCAAGCCTGTGAACTGGAGTGAGGCTAAGGGTGACCTTCTTATGATACAAACATTGCTGCTTTTCAAATGAAATTTACTTTGTTATCATGCTAACTAGATACAGGTCTTGTAGTGTCCAGGCCTCCAAGACCACGCCCAAGGCCCCAGGAGACGTTTAGTCCAGTATTTATTATGCACGGTAAAGTGAGAACGCTGTGTGAGACAAAGTAGGATAACGAACAACTAAGCGAGCTGTAAGCGAACTGTAAGCGAACTGTATAAGCGAACTCCAGAACGTTACAGGTCTCTATCAAAACAAGGTCACCTTCAGCCTCGCTCCAAATCAAAGGCTTGGCAACTAAGTACACAACTGTAAAATGGCCTATTGTGAGATCCTGGATGACCAGTTAGTACATTTACCTTGTAAATTGAGAAGCCAATAGTCAACATGGGCTTTCCTTCCTCTGCCTTCAATTTACGACGTTTGGTCTGCATAAGTGCCACCGTCAAGGAGCATTTATCATCAGCATCATCATCAGTGTCTTCCAGATCAACCCTTAAAATGGTGAAATGTAGGACCAAGTTGCTCAGTATCTGCACAACTGCACACTGACCCCCCCTCCCCTAACTCAAAATTAACTTGAACTTGTTATCATTTGACTGTTGTCTGGTTAGGGGAGGGGAGGGGAGGGCAGTCAGATACTGACATTAACCCAAAAGGTATATAGGATTCTAAACAGTGAATGAAAACTACATTGGGGATACAACCTCTTTAAATTTAAATCTGGAAATTTCACCCTTTACACTTTAACATCAATATGCAAGTTCTCCATACTGTGCTCAACACATTACCAATGTTACTTGCTAGGAGAATTTGTCTAACAACCAAGAACTTCTTGAGTTTGCAATAATTTCATTCATTCTCATGACTTAAGTGTTTAATTTAAGGTTGACACTCTTGGGGCAAATTAGACGTCCATCATTCTTAGGACTCAAAGGTTGATTATTACATAACAAACCTCTCCACCTTATAGACGCCTTATTTTGATTCACTACCAAGGGTGTGCTCTAAGAAAAATAGAAGGGAGCCCAGTGCTCTGAAACTGTGAAATCCAGGGTACCCAGCATATGCTTTTTATGAAAAATTAAGATTCCTGAGTCGCCCATAAGCAAAAGTAAGGCACCAGGGCCACTGGGCACTGCTGGACCACAGCCCTGACTACTTTCAATTATTGATTTTTGATGGTTTTAAGGTTTTCTGTATTTAACCAAAACCAAGGGTTCTGTTGACCAGGATCCTTAAACATTTTTACTGCAAATATAAAACCACATCTGGATATACCGGTAACAAGAACAGTGAATGAATTTAAAATATTCTGAACATGTTTTTCTTAGGAAAAAATCACATCATCTTTACTGTAGACACTCTCAACCGGCATATCAGTCGATATGTCGGTTGAGAGTCAGTTGTTACTTGAGTGATATTTCAGTCAACACTAGGTCGACACTTGGTCAATTGTTGGTCAACACTTGGTCAATAGTCAGTTGATATATCAGTCCAGAGTACCAACAGTAAACATGATCCAAAAAATCTATACCTGAACTGAGGATTTAGGGCAAATGTATTGAGAAAGTTGCGACAGCCACCAGCAGAGGATCCCCGAATCCATGAACCTTTCTCGACCCTTCCTTCCCAACCATGGTCACCAGTACTTTTAGCACTGTCTGGGCCCAAGTGGCAAATTTCTAGTTTGTGAAAATATCTGGTGAAATCATCAAAAGACATCCTGTACAGAAGCAAAAAAGTAAACAGTGAGGGAGAGGTTAATTACTAAAACAAGAGCCACATCCAGCCAGAACTTGTAACCATCACTACTGTTGCATGAAGCCATGAATACTCTTTCATCTCAGGTTGTACCCTTGCATTTCATCATCACAGCTCTAGGGTCAGAAAATTATGCTAAAAATTTTAAGAATTATCCTTATGACAATGTTCTTGCACTTTTTCAGGACCCAATTCAAGGACTTTCAAGGACATTTTCCATCATTTTCAAGGACCTTGACTCTCAAATTCAAGGACCTTTTGCATTAAAATAACAGGAGCTAACAGAAATAAGACGTGTCAATCATAATCAGACACAGGATTTGAAAGAAAAACTCGTTTTCGCAATCTGTGCGAGAAACTTACACTTTGAGCTCCGAAAACTAAAGAAACTTTGACTTTGATTCATCTGCACTTATTATCAAGGACTTTTCAGAAATTTTCAAGGACCTGAGAATAAATTCAAGGGTTTTCAAGTCCTTGAAAACAAAAAACTAAATTCAAGGAGTGGGGGAACCCTATTATCAACGTCAGCACTCAAAACATGACCTTACACCAAATATTATGCTCATAATTTTTCATGGTTCTTGATTTTATAATTCAAAATTATAGCTTTTTTACAGCCCCTCCAATAAGGAGTTACATGGTGATCACTTCTTTGAGTTTAAGGGGTTAAAGGTCTTGAATTCATGATCAAGTATTCCACTAAAAAGTGTCAGAGTCTACATCAGAATTGATAAGGAGTCCTAAGCATCAAGTACTTACCAAAATTCACCATCATCTGCAAAATTCAGATTCATTTGCCTTTTTTCTGATTCAGACAGCCCCTTCCACTGGCTGGATCTACAAGACAGAAAATAAAAAAATTTATCATATGACCTTTATGGTCCTGATTTCTGCAGCACTACAAGAACACAAATGAATACTTGTAAACAACAACAACAACAACAACAAACCTTTATTTCATCTCGAATTTAAAAAAGAAAAAAGGAGTACTTACTTATCGCCCCAATCTCCTTCCCATTCTCTCTCATTACCCCAGGGATTCCTCACACGGACCAACCTCACATCTCGACCATGGTAATTGACCTGTAAGAACAAAAAAATTAATAATTTCAATAACATAATAATAACTAAACATGAGCAGCTTTGTATGCTTAAGAAATGTCTAACTGTAATTAATTAATAATTCAGTAGTTTCTAGAGTGAATCAAGTCCCTTTGCAACACTCAATCATTTGTGATGTGTTTAAGTACACAGCTGTACATAAATAATATGCAATAAGATTGTTGTTGAATAAAACTTACAGTGGTTGCTTTAGTCACGGAATACGCATGACCTTTGACCAATCCCATTTCACCTTTAGCTTCTATCTGATTGGGTGCAGCCTATAGAAACAAAAAATATTAAAATAATTTGCAGCCAACTGTTAGCCTGATACACTTGAAAGAATGCTGAATGTTTACACCAATAAACCACATTACATTGTGGATCAGAGGTTTGTACACTGAATTGATAACAGTAAAGTGGGAAAATGGGTCTCCCAGAAGTAGGCATGATTTGAATTAAGCTACCTTCATAGTAAGGCATATAGTAAGTGGCATTATATACTGCTGGAGAGATATCATGTAGTGTAAAAAATTTTTTCCTGGAGAAAGAGGCTTTTTTGCATGTCACATGCATGGAATGAGGGAAAAAATCCAGAGTTGCAGTGAAGAATCCAACCTCAGACCTTTAAGGACAAGAGTACTCAGAAATTTATCTTTGTCCCATGCTTTCTACAAGAAAAAATAAACTGTTCTCCATTTTTTTTTTTCTCTGTCAACACACAAAAACGTTCCTCTGCATTTGCAACTTTTCCCACCCCTCCCCTGTTGGGTGCAATCCCTTGTCTGACTTAAATAAGGGTGTTTCTTCAGACAGGCTTTTGAGGTCTTGAGCAATGCATGAAGTGTTAAAATTTTCCCTATTTAGCCTTTCAAAAAGAGCATCTTTCAGAACCAAAAGCCTTCAAAAGAGCAAGAGCCATGACCATGTACAAATAATGCGTGGTACTAATTTCTAATTCTAGATATCCTCTCAAAAAAACATTTTAGACTTCATGGTGATGAGCTTGATAAATTCCTATCCATAACTGAAATTTTTTAGGGAAAACAAAAGAAAGAATTCTGTCTTTTTTTTAGCTTGTCATGGCACACCCTTTCCCCAAACATCCCATGATGTTCTCCGAAAGCAGAAAACATCCTTGCTGATCGAATGAGAAACTTCTCAAATATACATTTCTTGTATATTAAATTTTATTAAATAAATGATCATGCTCACAGTGATTGAGCAGCCCATGAGATCACCGCGTCTTAAGCCCTTTTCAATGACTTTCCATATTTCTTCCCTCTCAGCCTCACTCTTAATTTTCTTAAAATCAAAGTCCTCTCCCAGACCACCAGTGAAGTCTTCCATAGCTTCAATTGTTTGACCTCCCTTGAGAGCTTCATATGAACCTTGAAGCCTAATGAAAAAAGTCAAAAGACATCACTGAAAAGTCTGTCAGAGATTCTATGTATGTAAAAAAAAAAGTCTGTTTATAAGCCAAGTGGCCCATCAGGCTATTGCTCAAATCTGGTTTCTATAGCATGAAGCGACTAGGAGTATTTCTCCTCCCTCCCTGGATGGGATGCTAATCCATTGCACGGCTACCCCGAAGCAATAAATTTGCCGGTAGCCATTTAAACACCTGGGTGAAGAGAGGCACTGTGACATAAAATATCAAGCAGACAAGTGATATCAATTAGGGGATTATTAGTTGATCTTTCAAGCATTTTCAGCGGTCCTTCATCCCAACCATGTACCAACTAGCAAACAACACTGTCAGTGTGAAAATTTGATTGATCAAGCCTGCCTAGTATCACTCAATCTTTTTTTTAATAGTTTTTATAGTTTCATTTTTTCTTTATTTTATAGTTTCTGATACAATTGTAATTATTTATTATATTCCTGTAAGTATTTATCATAACAGTATATCATTGTAAAATATTATGCAATTCACCCTCTTGGCTGCAATGTAATACTTGTTATTATTAAAAACTGGATCATTGGATAATGCAATTCAAGACTTTTTATTGGCTTAGCCATTATGGTATATGAGCCAATATACCATAATCTAAAATCTGTACATTGTAACATCCGGTCTCTTCTTACAAAATAAAGTCAAGAAGATTTGTCTAATATCTTGGGGGTGTTTTTTTTTAATAAAACAATTATTCCACTCACGCTTGTTGGATATGAGATGATTATAGCCAACTCGGCATTATGTGCCTTGTTGGCTATCTATCATCTCATATCCAATGCATACTCATGGAATAATTGTTAATTAAACTATCAAACACACACAAACGACACATATCAAATTCTTGTAACTAACATCATAGGAATTGTACAGCAGGCAGTAAATATATCTTATTAACCAAGCACGAGGGCCGTACTGAGAGAATATCGGCCCAAGGTCTTGACAGTATGGACCGAGCACAGCTCGGTCCATAGACCGAGGGCCGATATTCTTCCAGTACAGTCCCAAGCAAGCTTGGTTAATAAGAGATTTATTATACGACTGAAGTTCAAAGGGACACAAGTGCTGTATCATTTGGGACCATTCGGGACAGTGCCCGGTCCAATACTGAGAGAATATTGACCGGCAATAGAGCATTTTGATTGGTTGATTTTAGTTATTGGCCCTCTGACTGCCCGAGTCATGTAATAAGAAGAATTATGCTAGGACCAAAAGATTACCATCTGACAGGGTAGATTGCTACATACACTGTATATCATCTAAAGACATTTCAATCTTAAATGTTGTCATTCCATACGACCCCAACTACTCTGATACAAAGTTAAAAGACAATTGATTAACCATCTCACATACAGGGGGTTGCTATAATGTGAGCCTGCGAGCCCGAGCCTTTTATGATGAGCAGGAGCCGTTGCCGGAGCCATTTTTGCAAGCCCTGGGAAAATAACATCCAAATCTGGACATGATGCCTTTTTATGGTCATGATCCCAGGCGTTCCTTGTTTAAACAGCGGAAACTGAGAATGAGAGTGCGACAACTTGTCTTATCGTTTGCATGCTTGCTGATTGTACACAACACAACTTTCGAAATGTTGTGTTTTGGGAAGGTCACACAGCAAAGATTCCTGTCTTATATGCTGTTCTCAGATACAAATACGTTACAGTCAAATTTAATTCAGACGAATTTAATTCAAGGTCGCACAAGCAATTAAATTCAACAATAGCGTGGCGTCTAAAATGAATTAAATTCGTCTGGTAAATTAAATTCATCCTTGATGTTTTATCGTTTTATCCGTTTTGGTAAGACGGATAAAATATCGATAACGCATCTTCAGTTTTAGCGTCGCACTTAGTGTGGCGTCGAATGAAATGCATACATTTTCTTAATGTATTTCAATTGATTTCAAAATGACACCTCTGACCAGAGGCACTGCATTTGGGAAGAGAATTAAATTCGATCGTATTGATTTCAACGCATAAAACCACGCCACACCACGATTTACGTCAACGGAACGACGAATTTAATGGAATTTAATGGAATTAAATTCGTCTGAATTAAATTTGACTGTAGCACAACATATAAACTAGGCCTTACTTAATATATTATTTAAGGTATTCCTCCAAGCTAAATTGACGAAATTTGGACAGTTTTCAAGCAGTTTCATTACAAAGATGTATTTGAGTTGGCAAAGTCACTTAACCATTATTCCTTCAATACAAAACTCCTATTGCATGTCTTTTGGGAATTGGATTTTTTCCAAACTTTGCAAGTTGGCTAATTCAACAATAAATTTTAATTTGCGAGAAAACAAAAGCATACCAATAAGGTCCATTTACATGTAGCCTCCAGGAACACCTTACCCTTTACACCCCCCTAACTTCAGTATGAATATTCTCCAAAGTATTCTGCATACATTCTTTGGGTGTTCATAAGGAGAAATTTTTTAATGATCAACAGCACCTTAAGTTGGTGATCATTTTCTTTATTCTTGTGACCTTTATGAGTTATTCAGGAATGAAGTCCAAAGAAGAAATCAGATGCTAGTTAATGAGTTAACAATAATTTATTTGTACATATTTAGAGAAGTACACTTACTTGGCATATGCTTTCTCTAACAAGGCACACCAAAACTCGTTCTTCTCCTTGGAGTGCATAAACACCAGTTTCTTCCTGTAAGTTGGCAGACGGTCATCAATGATAACCTCCTCCCAATGGCCATCTTGCCAAATATTGAACTGAAAAGCACCACAGTAGCCAGGGCTACCAAACTTGTCATATTTGTCCAATCGAATGACCTTGTTCATCAATTTTTCCTCTCCTGTTAAGGAGGCAATGGCTGCCAACAACCAACAATCTCCCAGCATACCTTGATTGATATCAAGACGGGATGCTCCGCCCACCACAAATTCTGCCTTTTCGCTTGATCCTTGGGCGTCCAACAGTTCCTTAAAGATAAATTAAAAATATTATGAATTCTACAAAGAAGCACTGACTGATGCCATAATACAACTACTACCAAATATAAATTCCATTAAATTATTATAGGTCAGTGTTGTGATATTTTAGCACCAAGCTGACATTTGATATATACTTAACACATTGAGTTAGGCAGAGCCAATTTTTTGCATCTTCTAATTAAGTCCTTATTCAGGAGAATTTTCCATTATTTCTACCCAATGTCTGTAGGAAAGGGTTATGGGAGTTGTATTAGTGCTAATATTCTTAACAAAGAGCCATATGCTTCAGGTGAAAGTCTTTTTAACCATCATGACTTACTTTTGATCGAAAATAATTGAGGTTGACGAGGTTTAAAATTAGTCTGATGGTTAAATTTTCATGACTGATCTTTTAATTCCTTCTCTCGCTTAAAAAATTACATTTCAGTTGTTCCGAAATCTAAGGATCGACAAGATTTCCTTCCCTTGTTGTATGACAGATTACACCATTAAGATCTCAAAACTAAAAGCACCAAATGAAAATAAACACAAGTGTTTTTTCGAGTAAGTAATTGAAGGATGGATATATAATGACTGCACAACAAAAAGGCACAAAGAAGGCTTTTTTCGACAGTTCACAAAGGATTTTCTGGATAATAAATTTCCAAGATTGAATTCGATTTACAAACAAAACATGCTAATTTCATGTTAATGAAATTTCACTTGAGGTAATTTGCATTTTTCCTTGCACGCGGGTAAAGAGAATCGTATCATAAACAATACGAGGCAATGATTCAAACTCCAGGAGGTTGGCATTTAACAAACAAATGTAGCACCGTGAGTTTTAATGAGCCTCACAAAAACACCGAGGTTGCCAAAAGAATCTCACAGTGGATGGAGTACGAGAATTTGGTTCTTAACGTAAATTCTTTGATTAAAAAAAAAAAACCAAGAATATTGATTTCACGAGCCGAGTGTTCCAGAACATTCTCTATTGAGCTGTTCACTTAATATGCTTTGCTAACATAGCTGATCGATTAAACTCAAATGTCGTGTTTCGTTAACTTTTTCCCTGGTGTCGTTGTGGAATTTTCTCTCTTGGGACGCAAATGGAGCTATATTATTATGCGAATTCAAAATAACTTCGCCGACCGCACAAAAAATTATCTTGTTTTTCATACATTTAACTTTTATGAAATAAATAGCGTGCATATAAGTTTAACAGAAATTTCTCCTGAGAGACTGCTTGAAAAACCATGGGAAACCTTTAGCTAGCTGAATACCCAGCCAGAACATCAAGAGTGAAAGTTCAGCAAGCCACGCTGCAAATATCATTAGTATTGTTCAAGTCGGACAAGCTAAGATCTACCATGAGGCTCTCCAATATATTAAAGCCTCGCTGATCAAAATAAGCTTGAAATGACAAACAAAAGTGTTAACACTCTCCAGGACCAGATTAAACCGTAGATACTGAGACAAGAAATTGAACAAGCTCTGCCATTGTACCTGAGGTCGAAGCCATTCGAACGACTGACCACCAGGCAACACTCGTTTCTTGAAGACTTTGCTATCGATCGCAGGAAACTCTGGATCTTCAAAAAGAGTGCCTCTTTCCCTGCACCGACGCTTGATCTCCCCAAGATCTTCGTACCACTGTTTGTAAGGCATCCTGTAACGAAATGTGCACAATCAGTGTCAGACCTGAACTTAGAAGAGCAAATGTAAATGTTCTCGAACGAACGATCGCTTGTAATGAGACTTTGTTTGCCATGAACAACGCCTTTACGAAACGACTCATCCAGTCACGTAGTCACGTATGTTAGTTTGCCCCTGTAACAACATGACAGCTATGGCACTGTCTCAGGTTGCGTACAAAGTGGCTAAAGGATCACCGTACCTGTTTGATGAAGTTGTTACAGATCGAAACTAAGTGGATATATCGCTGTGAACTATTCAGAAAGCCAAACCGTACACCACCTTGTTCCCAGCCGCAGGGAAAGTATCTTGCGCATGCACTGAAGCACAAAGGAATTTTTTTTTTATGTGAGCCCCTCCTTAATGGTTCGCGTGTCCTTCTAATTACAATATGGTAATTTTTAAAACAGTAAAAATACTTTCTCAATTATCAGTCAAAGAAAGTACTGGAGATTGCCAATTTGCTGTAATGTGTGTCATTTTTCGATTGTAAAAGCTACCCGTACAAAATTTCCATTCCGATATCGCGGCGGCAACTGTCCGTTATCAGTCTACAATGAGTATTTGTTGTCTCCTCAAATATGTTTAAAGCTCCGATCGGATGTTCGCTCACGTAGTACTAAAAAGTAACCGCTTAGCCTTTGACTCTCCGTTGCTTTGCATCGAAAAAAGATGCGACCTTTGATATTCAAAACAACACAGTTTCTTGGGCTACTATTCGATATTTGTGAGCACTCACAAACCAAGAAGAAAGTTTAGACAAAATAAAGATACTGGGTAAACGATGAAAAGCATTATCAAGAAGTCATGGTCATATTTTTGTCTAGAGTGTTTCCCTTGAAAAAAAGACAAACTACAAACTCATTCAATCACCGTCCGATTTGTATAAAAACAAACATTCTCGCTAGAGCGATTTGCATTGGACAAATTTAACTGCAGAAGTTGGCTATTTTTTCTGATCAGCGACCTGTACAAACTGTTTTAATTGAGCAAAATGATTATCATTCATCTTTCAAATATAGACATTTAATTTATTTCGGGTGTGTGCGCTGGAGCCGTCACGTATTCCTTCCTAGGGGCCTTGCAGTGGTGCGTGACAAGACCTCTTGAAAGGATTGCGTAGGAGGTCACTAGAGCCTACTCAGATTATTCCAAATATTTGAAACTAGGCACGCAAACGTAGTTCTCGAATGTGCTCTAATAATACATAATTTTCAAAGTGAATTCTAAAAATACGCCTTTCACGGCACTGATCCGCTGTCAAGACTTTTCTAGGTGCGAAAAAAAGTGGGCGTGATGGAGGAGGGATCTGTGCCTTCCGAGAATAAAGAGTGACTAAAGAGTGACTCGGTAAAGATCTGGGAACGAACGACCACTCTTATTCATTTAATATATTTATGTGCTCTGTTCGTCATCAAAGACATCGGCTTTTCTCAGATGTGGATCTGAGTCGGGTTTAGGTCTGTCTCGATCGTGTTCGTCATCTTTTGAGCAATTTTTGGCGTTTCAAGGAATTATAGCAACTTTTTGCGATTCTGGCATCAACCTCGAGCATTTTTTCCCTTGTAAGCAATTAAATTTTTTAAGCAAAATACTAAAGGTTTAGGGCACTTATCAAGTACGAAAAAAAAGTCAACGAATTCATCGAAAACTTCAAGTTTTGCGAACTTTTGAATGCTTATCAACCTTTTTAACACATAACCTGTCACTTGGCAATGTTTCGCAGGACTATTGCGATGAATATTATAATGGTAACAGTTAAAATGACGTTTGGCAAGACGTCAAATCAACCATGTGCATTATTCTGTTAGACATTAAGAGTATCTTTAAATTTCGCCCATATTTTCGAACAACACTTTAAGCAAAGTTTCAAGATATTTTTCTCGATCGATGTTAGCAACTATTGATAAGAACGAAAAATAAAGCTCTTTTAATTATAGCAGCTTTTAAAATTTAGGTAACAAATTTTTGAAATCATGACAATTTGTTGGAAGGGATGGCCGACTTCTTATGGCAATGTCTTTGTTTAGAACAGTCAGCTCTCTTTCTCTCCTTGTCTAAAAACATAAAAGGGACACTGAGCTCCGGAAACCAACCGAGACCAAACTTTCTTTCCCCTATGATTAAAAATTATTCACATCACACAAGGCAAAAAAAAAAAAAATTCAGTATTACACTTTTTCTTGTTGGTAAGGCCTGTCTTCAATATTTATAAATCATTAGCCAACCAAGGAGGTGCTTAAAAAGAGATTCCCTTAAATGCTCGAAGAAAATTGGTTTTGTGTTTACTTCCTTGGCTTGGGGGAATTAAATAAGAGTATGTGGGTGAGCGGTTAACATAACATTCATAAAAATTAGATAAACAAATCGACACGCAACAAAGTTTTTTTTCAACACCAGATCTTATTTGTCATTTATGCTAATTGACTAAGACAGATTGAAAAAATTTTTGATGGGGGTCCACTTTCTTGAGTAGCTAAGAAACCAGGCTGAATTTAGTAACCAAGCCTCCTGGTGGAGACAGACCGGCACGGACTCATCATGTGGCTTGTGTGATCGCGTCGCATTATCTACTTCAAATTATATTTTTGCTCTCATAAGCGTGTCTTCTAGGGATTTTCCCTTTATGTATGAGAGAATGAGAGACTGTACGTCAGAACCACATAATGCCAAATGCATTTTATTTAATGCATTCAAGGAAGTAAACAGAAACATGAATATCAGTGATTAATTAATGTTAAAATAAAAACCGTTATATGATATTAGAAAGGACATAAAAACAACAGGGCGGATATCATCTATTCCCTCTAACTGTTCCACGCTTCACACCCTAACATCAGTATGCATATTCTCCATACTTTTCTATATACATTTCATAAGGTTTTGACTAAGAGAACTTGTGTAACAGTCAAGAGTTTCTCAAATTGGAGATCATTTCCTTTAGTCTCCTGACCTTAATGCGTGATTTAGGGGTAATATTGTAAGGAGAAATTAGACGCTGGTCACTCATAGGGCAACCTCGTTCCCAGAGCCTTTTCCCTTAGAAAAGGCCCTGGGAACGAGGTTGACTCATGGGGGTCGATGGGTTGAACAAGGACAAAGTTTAATTGCCATAGAATTGAGTTATTTTAGGTTCAGAAATTTGTGGTTCTTTTAGAACGGAAAAAAAAACTTCCTCTCGATCCGATGTAGTTGAAAGCAATTAAACTCAGCATGATTTATCAAAATAATAAGCAAATATTTTGTTTTAGGGGGAGTAATAAGCTGCAATGTGGAAAGAAGGATATTACCAGAGTAACTAGAATGTCAAATGAGAAGCTAGCTTTTCACAATGATATCAGCGTCAGACGCAAATGTCGTTAGTCAATGACTGATATTGAAGGAATTAATACCATAAACTATTCCAAGAACGCACAGTACTTTTGTATTAATTTTCAAGAACCTTTAGTTACCGTAAGGGCCTTAACCACATTTGATTAAACATTCCAACAAAACATATTTCGCGGAAAACTTCGATTGGAGTTAAGTTCAAACAATGGAACATGACAAAGATTTAAGATTACATTGCCAACACCTTCAATTCCTGCTTACTTAACAGAAAGACCAAGTTCTTCGGTGCAGCACAACAATAACTTACAGATAGTGGTTAGCCAAAAGTTTGTTTTCTTTACTCTATAAATAGTGTAGGTTATTAAAAAATCACATTTTTCAAATCATAACGAATGGGAAAAATTCACTTGTAACTGAAGGTTGGAGAAATTTTTTTTTTTTCTTTCATTGAGTACCGATATTAACAAATTCTTAATATACTGGCTTCTTCAAAAAAAAAAAAAAAAAAGGAAGAAAAGCCTCTGGTGAATTTTAAGTAGCCTCAAAAAGGTCGCGAAGTAATCACAATCTCAGTTTCTGGTGAAACACTGAAAACGATAAAAAAAAAATTAGAGTGTATTACGTAACAGAGCTTTTTAGTTCTATTTTGTTCTCCTACTTAAGAAGTAATTGTCGCCGAGCAGACAGGTTAAACATTGACACCTTCACTGGTTTTCCCAAGGCTTGAATAGATTTTTGAACCAAGGTACGCTCTCCTTAGTTGCACGACATTCAAATTTCAAACTTATTCTTAAAAAATCGGATGTCTGCAGAATGAAAAAAGCAAAAAAAAATTCCATGTTTCTTGAATTTTTTTTCGCTCTCTTCAACCACATTCCCTTGTTATAGGCTTTTTTCTCGACAAGTTATTAAAAATTAAAAGCGAAAAATTCTTTCAAAACCACAAACAATTTTGAGATCACTTTACAATGGACGAGACATTGTGTTTTGTTTTATGACGCGGTGAGGCCTACATTCAGGTGATAAAGGACTAGGAAACTAGCATTGTCCCAAAACTGTTACATTCGTTTCCTTCAACTTTTCAGAGCGCTTTCGCTCTAAACAGCCCAGTCAGCGATAAGGGACAGTTTTTCTAGGTTTAGTAGTGATAATGGCAGACTATTCTTATATTGGGAATGGCTCCTACAAATCACTGGTCAAAGATGCGGAAATCTCGAGGGTCGTAATGACAGTCCAAGGTCCACGGGAAATGTTACCAAACAATGCAAATGGTCTTCCAGCTCTTCCCGGCAGCTCTACATTCAAAAAAGGACAGCTAAGACAAGCGCCTTCTTACCTGTTAGGAAAACCATTACACGATTTCGACGCGACGGGAAATGGAGTAAGTGTGGATTGTCTGTATAGCTTACGATCATGCACTTTTGTTTTCATTGTTAATCGATGTAATTAAGCTCACTGATAAGCATGTAGCCGTCTTAAATTTTTACTCTGCAATCGTGCCCCTAAAAACCTAAACCTACGCGATTAAATTACGTTAAAGCTCGTGCAAACATAAAAAGGATTAAAATTTGCCCCATATTTCAAACCATTTGATTGCATCTTGGTTTTAATTACCATTGTGGTAAAAATGGAATTTTGTTAATTTGTTGCGTAAGACGTGTTTAGGTCTTATTAAGGAGGTTTTTTTTTTTTTTTCAGTATTTGAAAAGCGTTTTCTTCGATAGTATAAATATAAGCCTTTTTTTTACCAAACTGTGAGATAGTTTTCATACTTTGGCTTGTTACAAAGCTTCTTTTAGTTTTTTTTTTTTTTTTTTTTTTTTTTTAATATTCTAAGAATTAAGCAGCAAAACATAAACCTATTCTATTGACCATTACCGGAAAGGGTTATTTTCAAACAGTAGAAGATCCACTGTGAAAACATTCGCGGTTCTCCACACCGCAACAAAATAGCTTCACATTTTTTCCTTAATTAAGAGACGGAAGAATCTAGAAAATATCGTTTAAAAATTTTTGTTAGCTTTACTTTACTCAACAAAAGTTCCTTTGGGTAAACGCTTGCGCAATTGTGTATTACAAACAAGTAATCAAAAGAACGATATACTGCTATTGTAAAGATTGGGTTTTGAAAATTAAATACGAAATATCTCGAGTTATACCGTGAACGTGAATCGTTTAAGTATTGAGGTAACTCAAGATAGTTGGATTTTGGACAAATCATCATTCGCTGTGCTCTAATGTTCCTTTTTTACGTACATGCCAAAAACCGAACAGGGTCAATATTTGGCCATCTCGACTCGACGGGTTTTGTCAATTAAAGTGATTACAGGAATGAGTTTTGAAATCTATTCTTGAAGTTTTTTTTTTTGTTTTTGTTGTTTTTTTGTTTTTTAGTGTTTTCAAAACGTTTTTATTCCATTGAAAACTCAATCGATTCTTGCAAAAATTGGAAACAAAGTTGCCAGAGACTACGAAGGAGTATCTCAAGCTGAAACAAACATTCACTTTCAGGTAGCCCATTAGAAATATTGGGTTCGCTTCACCGCCATGCTCAAGGATATTATTTGAATTGTTATATTAAACCTAAGCTTTGCATACATTACCTGCGGGACCATATTATGTATTGTTTTCAACAGGAAATCTAGAAAATGCGGAGCCCTTCTAAATCCTATTTAATTAAAACGATAATAAATGAATTTAAAACCACACTGACCATAATGATATACACATCCTTGACTGCCAGCCGTGACGTCGAGCCAAAATATGCAGCAGTGCAGCAGCATTATTTCAAACAATGACAAATAAATCATAACAATCTGAAAGAAAGGTGTTTTATTATTATATAAGCAGGGAGAAAAGAAAACCAAGACCACTAAGAATTTAAGTTTTTCATTTTTTAAAATTGATTTGTTGAGTTGAACGTTTTATTTGCTATAAATACGCCAATCACGATTGAGTGATTCTGTTTACAATGCCGGTTAAGGGGGAGTGGGAATGAGGAATGATGGGGGAGGAGGGGAGAGGAGTGAAAATACCTATCTGACACATGTACCTCGTTGATGATTTTAAATCTCTATTCCTAATGCTGTCACTGTTTTAAATATGCTCTAAGATTTTACTTCTCTCCTCTTGTCAAGAAATCAGTCTTCCAAAAAGCTTTGGAAATAGTCAGAGCGACTGTTATCCTGAGCTTTAAGTTAGTGACAGAAGTGCACAGCACGTCTGATGAGACAGAGTTCCAAGCAAATCGTTCGCAAATTAATTACTAGCATGACCCCTACCTACCCCTCCCTCTCCTCCCAAGCGAAATGAACACGGAAGCAATTTTTGCTCGACAAAAATTTTAATTTTGGAATATTTGGAGAAACCCAGGTGGTTTCGATTACTTTTTAGACTAAGATAGATTCATGGGCAAATTTTGAAAGAAATCCGGAGTTTTCCAACCGCATTGCGTTGGACCGCTTCCTTCAGTGGGGACTGGGTCTGAGGTGAGGAGGATAGGCGAGCAGTAAAACAGGAAGAAGAAACAAAAAGTGTCTGAAGAATTTTCAGGTTCCTCTTATTGCAGTATTCGTGTTTGATAACTAATCATTTTCTTCAATCTTCCTAACAGTCGCCAGCTAAACCATCCAAGGAAACTTTCCTGGTCCTTAGTCGTCGATCGAAGATGTCAAATGACCAAGCTTACAGGTTCAATATGTCTAAATCGCTTTTTCTCTTCGAACCTCTTCACCCCCTTAGACGTTTGGCCATCAGGATCATTACTCATCAGTATCCTTTCACTAATTCTTGTTAGTTAGCAAAGTATTCTTAGGTCTGCTTTCAATTAAGTGTCCTAGGATCAAAGCCGATGCTGTTGAAATGCCCAGTTAAGTTGTGAAAATTCCAACTAGACCATTGGTCGGTATTGCATCTAATTGGTCGAGGAAATAGTGCGAGTTTTCCAGATCAATCATAAGAAATCTGACTGAAAAGCGGGAAAACATTAGCGACAATGTCAGTCTTGCATCTGATTGGACGAAAAGGAGGCAGCATTTTTCTAAACTCATTGCATTTGTCATTAGACATTCACTGTTTTTTTCCCTAAACTACACCTTACAGATATTTTGAATTTTTTGTCATATTTATTATTCTGATAAACTGTATTTGCCTGGCTTTAAACCACCCTCCAGAAGAGGCAGAGTAAGTATCAGTTTTATTTTGTAAATTAAAAGAATCGGGAGGTTGCCTTTAGTCTCCCTCGAAAACCGTTCTTCGGGATTTCATGCAATAACCTTTACTAAAAAGAGCGCGTTTCGTGACTAGCGTTTGGCTAAGCCGTCGCCAACCGGAGAGTAAAGGGTAGACTATAGCAAATTTACTGCTAATTTACTACCTTTGGGTTGGGCATCATATGAATGTTACAGAGCCTTATTGGGGGAGGTGAGAGTGGGGGAGATCAGGAAAATGTCATCTAGACACAACCAAAATCCTTCAACCCATAGGTGCTAAATAGAGTCGGGTCCCTAAGACATACGTTTCTAGTTTAGTTCTCAAGATTAAGAAAAACAAAAATGAGTAGCCCAGGCTAAAAATGTAACGTCGTTAGAATTTTTGAGTAGCTTTATTCTGGCCATCTTTCGGTAAGAATGCCACTCAAGAGACCTTAAAGGAGGCTCGACGTAGTCTGTTTAGAAGACCATCTTTAAAACCATTTCAGCTAAAAATATGATTGCTCGTTAGCTGAAAAGCTACAAAAGCTAATGTGACTTCTTCTATTCCAGATACATATTGGCGTTTATCTACACTTCGGAGATGTTTCTTAAGATCATTTCTCGTGGGTTTGTTCTCCATTCCTACGCGTATCTGAGAAACCCTTGGAACTGTTTGGATTTTACAGTGGTTATACTGGGGTAAACTGTTCATTTTTTAAATCTACTACCCAAAGGACAGAATGTCAAGAATCACAGAGATCTGTTTGAGCTTTGAATCAGTTTTAGTGATAGATCTGCTTGAGTTTTGAATCAGTTTTAGTAATAGATGAAACTTGTCTGCCGTCTGTCTGACATTTTTGAATTTGTATCTAGGTATGTGACACTGTCGCCAAATGTCGCAAACTTTTCTGGAATAAGAACTGTGCGTGTTTTGAGAGCTTTGCGAACGATATCTGTTCTGAAAGGTAACTCAGTTCACTTTGAAATATTTACGAAAATAAAAAAAATATAATTTGAATATATCAACAAAGTTGAAATGGTAAATTGGCCACCGTTACGATTATGAAAGCTCCGACGAAGGGCTAACGCTCGAAACGTCAGCTTTTATAATTGTAACGGTGGCCAAATTACCATTTCAACTTTGTTGATATATTCAANNNACTCTTGACGCGCAAGGGTTCCGATGCCTTTTGATGCAGAATTTTTTTACGAAGGTGGAGAGTTGTTACACTTCTTCCTTGCTTTTCTTAATCTGTTCTTTTCCATAACCATTTCTCTCTTCTCCACTAACCTCCTACTTGCTCTTCTCTTTTTTTCTTCCCCGGACAGAATTTGCGCCCAGGTTCGCCGAATAACAAAACACTTTTTTTACCATTAAAATCTTCCTTTGCGAGGTGTCCTGCTGGGATCTCACGAAGCTCTTTATTGTTCCAGGTTTTTGGATATATGAAGAGGGTAGACCTGTTATTTGTGGAAATGGAACAGCTGCCAGGTATGATATTTATAGACTAATGACACCAAAGAGTTTTTTTTAGTGCACTATGTATGATGTATTAAGCGATGTCTGACTTATTCAGCTTTTTTTTAGTTGGAAAAAGTGACTGGTAATGAAAACCGATATTCTATCGCGAGCTAAAAGAGAACTCGTCGGCATGTTAAATCTTTGTTAGACGGGTGCGATCCAAAAAAGTTGTATAGGTTAGTGAACACAGCGGTCTAAGGTAGGGCATGTGTAAGAGTCTTTTTTTTAGTCAGCCGCGTGTCAATTTACCGCGCAAAGCATAGGAAACATCCCTTTTTTTGCCAAATATGAGAAAAAAAAATGGGGGAAAGAAAGACTCGATTCTTTTTTTTTTCAAAGCTTATTAAATCATGGGTTTCCTAATGATTTATCATTTTGTTTTGAGCTTTACCTAAAACGTTATACGGTTTTCATACACCGCCACTTACTCGTTCGTTTTTTTGCTTACAAGACCACTTGATTTTACCACCTTGAATGCACGCCCTCAGTGGCCTTAGTAACGATCGCACATGCGCAGACGCTAGGTTAACAGGTGGATGTTAGATTAATGTAGTCGAGGCCTTATGAATCTTCGCTCATAAACTATCCCTAGGAGATTTTTTTTAAACTACACATGCTTGCCTGATGCCGGACCGAATCCTGATTTTGGTTATACGAACTTTGATCACATGGGATGGTCCTTGGTACTGTCATTTCAGCTTCTTACGATGGACTTCTGGGAAAATATCTACAACAAGGTTTGTACAGTTCGCGGAAAAATTTTTTTGCATGGTCTTCAATTTTTGTACCGTTAGTACCTTTTCTTCAAAAATTACTAATTTCCTTAGCTTTTGGTGCAAAGGATCATTTAGAAAATTGAGCATTATGTGCCAGTGCAACAATTTCCTGAGATGGTTATTGTAAAAATTTCTTGTGGCTAAGTTTTTTTTTTAGAAACCATCAACTAATCAAATACTTTCACTCAATGTGACCAAATGATCCCATAATTCTGGAATTCTATCACTAACTTTCACGCTTTGATATCACTCATTTTTTTAATACCTAACATGGTAAGTGTCTAGTGCACTTGCATCATTTGGTCATGCTCATTAATTCTGTAAGTCACTTTCAAAACAATGAAAGCTAACTGTTTGCCTGAAAGTTTAAGTAAGAGCTAAAAGCTCGGGCAATACGTTTTTAATGCTAGTACACTTTTTTTTCGATTCCTTTTAGATTCTGGCTTCCAGTGGAATCTGGTGCGTGTTCTTTTTTTTTGGAGGCATATTTTTCTGTTCTTTTTACCTTTTAAATCTCGTGCTGGCCGTGGTGGCTTTATCCTACGAACTGGAGATCAAATCTATCCACAAAGAGGTAAGTTCTTTTCCCATTTCTAAACTACATGAACTTTTCTTCATCATGACTGTAATTTTTTTTTAAATAATAGCGTCGATAATACTATTTCATAGACGACTAGATCACGTTATAAAGCTCGGAGAAATGTGTTCTACTTTTGCTTATATGACATAACTAGTTGTCTTTTTTTAAATGCGAGCTCTATGACCTGATAAAGCATCCCCTCCAAAACTCAGTTTTTTTTTCAGACGATGCGCATTATGTTCACTTATGCTACAACAAACTATAGTTTTTTTTTTTCATTCTGCTGTTTTTTCTTTTATAATTCACGGGAAGACTGCGAGATTTTTTTTTCAAAACAAAACCGCCATGTCATACCGCGCCGACTCCGACACACTGTTTTTTTTTCATCCGCTGACCACCAAAGTGCAGGTTCTCATCAAGACAATTCACTCCATCAGGACTCAAAAGAAGGTCGAAGAGATTACCTACAGAGTCCCCAAGGAGCCGCCTCCCCCGTCACTGTTTCGCCTTATCGGGAGTAAAAACTCTTTTAAGGAAATTCTGGACGAAAAAATGAAGAACGACGCATTTCGTACAGATATGAAATGGACACGGCGCCTTCAGAGAATGATGTGTGACGTCATGGGTCACTCCATTGTGGAAGTGTTTTTTTTGGGATTCATCCTCGCCAATACAGTGGTCCTTGCCGTAGATCATCATCAAATTGACTCGCAGTTCAAAAAAGTCCTTGATGTGCTCAATTTGGTAAGGCACCATAATCTGAGTAATTTTATCATTGCCATAATGAATGACGATGGTTACTCAAATTTTTTTTGCTTTTTTTTTTTTTGAAAGGTCTAATCAAGAGATGATAATGATAAGTTTTTTTGTTTCGTACGGAGGTATACTCTCCTACATTAAGAAACATAAAATCATGTTTCCTAATAACTATGTTGAGTGTTACGCGGAAGTAACACGTTGACGCGAGCGTTTTTTTAATAGGTTATTTCACAATCCTCCAAGGATCTTTAATTTTAAAGAGGGTTAAGCCCTCAGTGTAATGGAAGATCAATCTGTTAACCTGATCCTCTCTTTTTCCGATCACAAAATGTGTGCTTTGAAAGGGGAATCATCCACTTAAATATAGAATGCATTTCGATGGAGTGTCGTAAAGCAAGAGATTTTTGGTTTTAGTTATGCACCTGAAATATTAAGAAGATGGTGTCAGTGTTTTTAGACAAACCCCACACAGCGAAGCTATTTTTTTCCATTGCAATCTCAAATACAGTTCGACAGTCAGTCGAAAGTTGCTCTAATAATTCCCTTAACAATTCTATCTTAACGGTTTCTACTCAAACCAAAGGAGTAGCGTAAATGAATAAAAGGTAAGTTTCGAAAGAAACTGTGGTGCTGCGTCGGTGGTTTTTTTAAAGTAATTTGGTTCCATCAACTAAGTTGAAATGGTAAATTGGTCACCGTAAAGAATGTTAAAAAGCTTACGTTTCGAGCGTAAGCCCTTCGTCAGAGCAAATGGAGGAATTGTGGGTTATGTGTGTGTTTACATGCAGAAAGTGGAGCTACGCTTTTTTTTGGAACATAGCGATGAGAAAAACTAGAATGAATTAGTGGAATGAAAAACGTTTGCTGATGCCTGTGTGATTAAGAGTGCCGATTTGAAAGATGACCATAGTATTTTTTTGGTAGCTTGCCTCCGATGATGGTCGTGAAGGAACATTATAACATAACTTTTTTTAAGCGCGCGCTCTGATTGGTCAATTTAGCGTCCCCCATTTGCCCATGGGTGTACGCTGCTGACGTGAGCAAATGCAAAGACTATTTTTCCGCGCACGCTTGTTTTTTTCTGGTCGCGTAAGATTTGTTAGATAAAAGGGAACTCTTTAGCAACAATGTATCAATGTTATGTTATAAAACAAATGGTAAACACCACAGCGTACACTATTGAGTTATGGATGCACTTGGGAGGTTTGCTAAGCACTCAAGAAGCTAGAGTCGCTCTCGGCTATCGCCTCGAGCGACTCTTACGCTTCTTTCGTGCTTAGCAACCTCCCGCGTGCATCCATAACTCAATAGTGTACGCTGTGGTGTTTACCATTTGTTTTATAACATAACATTGATACATTGTTGCTAAAGAGTTCCCTTTTATCTAACAAATCTTACGCGACCAGAAAAAAACAAGCGCGCGCGGAAAAATAGTCTTTGCATTTGCTCACGTCAGCAGCGTACACCCATGGGCAAATGGGGGACGCTAAATTGACCAATCAGAGCGCGCGCTTTACTTTGGTTATGTTATAATTAACATTTTTNAACTGACTTCCTGTCTTAAAATGCCGTCTGTTTGTTTTCGGCAGATGTTTACTATCATCTTCACTGTGGAAATGATTCTGAAACTTGTTGCCCTGGGTCCATTATACTACATCCAAGGCAAATGGAACATATTTGATGGTATCATTGTCATTATCAGCTTAGTGGACACAGGACTTGAGCTAGCGGACTTTAAAGAATCCTCTGGAACCAGTGTCTTCCGCACATTTCGCTTGGTAAGTGTCTGTACATTTTAAAATAGGTATAGGAAGTTTCGCCCCATCGAAAGTTCGCCCCTCCCAGTTCGCTCCCGTTTCGACGAGTTCGATGGTTGGTTGGGGGTAAGTCAGTCAGTTGTGAACAAATCAATTGATAAGACCAGTCGTCAGTCGTCAGTCAGCTAAAAAGGGATTTCCCAGTCAGACCAACACTTAGTTAATTATTCTCTGTTAGCTAGCTTTACCGATTCCTCGGTCATTTTAGGTCTTCAAGTCACTCAGTAAAATATCGATGTCTTTTCACCTCAAAGTGTTTTTAACTGCATCCTGAGCGGAAAGAACTGATGTTCCTAGTTTAACCAATGCCCCATAAAAGATGTTAAACATTTTCCCTTGTCACTATTTCCTACTCAAATACTTACAGTTTAGAATCCTAAAACTGGCGCAATCCTGGGAGACAATGCGAAGACTGTTGTCTACAATATCCAACAGCGTTGGGCCGATCGGCAACATCACCCTCATCCTGGGTCTGGTGATTTACATCTTCGCCTTGATGGGAATGAAGATGTTTGGCAAATCATACACACCGGAAAAGTTTGGAGAGGATGGTGTACCACGCTGGAACTTCAATGACTTCTGGCACGCTTTCATGATGGTGTTCAGAGTGCTGTGTGGAGAATGGATCGAGCCCTTGTGGGATTGCATGAGAGCAACCAGTCCAGCGGCCGCCATTCCATTCTTTATTCCAGCTTTTGTCATCGGCAATTTCATTGTGAGTTAAATAATTCCATAGAATTGCGCGTTGCATGTAATCATCAGAGAACTTCTATTTCTAAGCAAATAGTAATGTATGAAAGTCTGGACTGGACTTGTATCCCATCCAGGGGAGAAAGTCGTACTTCTAATGACTTGGATAAACTTTGGTTGGATGAACCACAAGTCGAGTGCCAACTTTTCCTTTAATTAGAGCAAACCAAATTTTAATACGTTTCTCAGAACCCACTTATACTGTAATTCTCAATTGACCAGGGGCCGGTTGTTCAAAAGAGAGTTAAGTCTAAACCCAGGGTTAAATCGGCCTAACCCTGGGTTAAATTTTCAGCGAAGGTTAGTTGCGTTGTTCAACGGAAGGTTAACACTAACCTCGGGTTAAACGATGGGTTAAATTCAACCCACCGTGCGAGCAGGGTTAAATTGTTAAACTCCGGTTAAATCAGGAATAAAGATGACGGACTTGTTGTTTTGCGATTTATGCAGAAGGCGACGACGAGAAAGGAGATTTAGAGCCGGAACTCAATGAGAAATCGACGATTTCACAGACGAAGAGCTGCGTGCTTGTTACCGCTTTCGACGAGAGTCTATTTTATTTATTACCAATCTTGTTGCCGGTGTTATCAGTCGCAACACTCGACGGAATCACGCCTTACCGCTGCTCCATCAAGTTTTAATTGCACTCAGGTTTTACGCCAGTGGAAGTTTCCTACAAGTTATAGGCGACACCTTCGGTGTGGATAAGTCCACCGTTTGCAGAGTAATTACCGATGTGTCCCGAACTTTAATCGTGAAACAGCCCCGCTTTATCAAATGGCCTTCGACGAACGACGAACGTGCCACAATTAAAAACGAACTTTACCTTCGCGATTTTTTTCCACATTTCATTTTTTTTCTGATCGGTGATGCTGTTGGTAAACTTGCTTTGTATCAGCGAAATGTTTTCTTCGACTTTTTCCGTCAAAACGGCAATTTCTGAAGCGCTAAAAAATTTTGTTTTCGAGCTTTGCGTGAGATAGCTGAGGAAGCCATTTTGCAGAGCTCGCAACTTGCTCACCATGGCAACATTGTACAAATAGTTTATTATGGGATGCTAACCGCGGGTTAAACGCGCTTACCCCGAGGTTAGCTAACCTGTCCTCTAACTGCGCTTCGAACAACGCAATTTTAACAGCGAGTTAACAAACTCACGGTTAGGAAATTTCACCTCCGGTTAGGCCTAACCAGCGGTTAGTTTAACCTGTCTTTTGAACAACTGGGCCCAGAAGTTTTAAAGTCAGTCTTCAATTTGACATAAATAAAATTTACGAGAGAAATCCTAATCATCAATTTTGCTTTCCTGCAGGTTCTCAATCTCTTCCTTGCTCTACTTCTCAACGCTTTTGACAGCGGTGATGAGGAAGATGAAGAAGGCGCGAATGAAGATGATGACGAAGAAGACGTGGTCAAAAAACTCCTAAGGAAGCTAACAAAAACGAGGAAGACTCCAGTGTTACCCGTCCGCGATCATCGGTCGTGGGATGGAAGCTGCAATTCCTCTCAAGAAATACAAGCCTTTGGTAGAGAAAAAGATAACAGAAACGTAAGGAAGTTTAGCCAGGGAAGGGAGTACTCGACCGTAGGTAAGTGAAGGAAGTGCTCATCAGAGTGAATATTAAACAAAATTCGACTTGAGGAAGAAAAATGTTCATTTATGAAAGATCTAAGTCAAGTCAATTTCTACATGTTGGGATATTAGAATATTTCATTGAACGCAGCTATCATGTAAGGATCATTTCGTTATTTTCATCATACGCGGGTCAATTTTTTTGTTTACTTAATTACAAACAGATTCCTTCACGTGAAGAAAAAGCATCGAAATTTGGCTTTCTACTTACTTCTGCCGCGGTAGCTCGGTTGTTAACAGTGCGCAACTAGTATCAGCCGGGGAGGCATGGGTTCGAATTGCGTCGTTGCTAACATCTCTTCAAGCTTCTTTTCCTTTATTTTCTTTAATTTTAGATCAGCCGGGTGAGAATCATTTCGTTTCCTTTTAGATAGAAAAATCATTGTTTTTTTGCCATTCCAACTTATCGCTAAAATGACTTGTTTCTCAAATCTGTTTAAAAATCAACCTGAAATTTCTTATCTTAACACTTGTCGCTCAGCTAACATCATTCCTGGTGCAACTTCAAGCCCAAACCGCCAAGGAAAGTCACCAGTACAACCAGCCGAAGTTGACGAATGTTTCCCAGAGTTCTGTATGTCACCTCTGACTAGTTGCGCCTGCTGCAAGAAGATTACTTGCAACAACTGGCTGCTGTTTCGCTGGCGCACACGGACACTTGTGGAACACAGATACTTTGAATGGTTTATTCTCTTCACAGTGCTAATAAGCAGTTTGGTTCTGGTGAGGGTTTATCTCTCCGCTCCTTTTATACTTGACCTTTAAAAACTCTCAAGATCTGATTTTTAATTCTCCCCTCTTGCTGCTACCCATTTCCCTGTCAATTACTAATGAGAATTTGATGAAGGATCAAGATAACAACTGCCTTATACGTTTGACTACGTCCAAGTGGAGTAGCAATTTTACCAGTCACTTTATACAACGTTAACTGGCCCCTTGGCTTTGAGAGCTCAGTTTGACTTAAGATTTTTTTTGTTTACTTATGTGTTACATGAAAATTGTTTTCTTAAGGTATTTGAAGATGTCTACCTTCCAAGCAAGCCTACTCTACAAAAAGCCCTGGAAAACTTGAATTACTTCTTTGCGTTCATCTTCGCCTTAGAGTTTGTCCTCAAACTGATAGGATTGGGCTTGGTTGGATATTTCTCCTCGTTCTGGAACTGCCTTGATTCGTTGATAGTCGCGGTGAGTATTTCGGAAAAAATAAGTGTTAATGCTTTCCCTCTCCCTCTTTCCCTCGCCTCTCCTTCCTATTTCAAACATAGAGTTTTGGTGAAGGATTGCGAGCCTGTAAAGCTCAGCTCCGTAAAAATACACCTGCACTGCAAACTGACATCAAGACTCTTCGCACGTAGGCACTCAACTCACTTGTCATAGCCAGTAAGTTTGCCAGAGGACCACTCTAAAGTTGGCTAAAAATTCAGCTTAGGGTTAGGATCATAAACAAGTTGTATTTTAAACCCCTAGAGTTCCTCTCAATCGAGAGCCCGAATTAAGCCGACCCGGGTGCGAGCTATGGCGAAGCTATCAATTCTTTCATCTTATTCTTTCTTTGAATCGAATTCCACTCTCTTTCGCGCTTTCTGCTGTAGCGTTTTGTTTTCAAAGCTGTTCTTTGTCTTCGTCAAGATTTCCCTTGTGTGTGTGTTTGAAGATCAAACTTTGGCATCGTTGCGCTCTCTGAGGACAGTGAGAGCATTGAGGCCATTGAGAGCAGTTTCACGTCTGGAAGGGATGAAGGTAATGAAAACCCAAATAAAAATTTTACAAGTTTTCCATCTCAATGAGAAGGATCAAATAAATCGAGGTATGGTTTGAGTAACAATGATGGAGGGCTAACACATGGCTAGACTAGATGCTTTTTCGCATTTTTCACGCCTGAGGGTTAAAAGAAGTGTTTTTTTCCCGCCCTGCTCCCCTCGCGCTTGTCTCTCTCGTCCCACTCGCCTCGCGTTTGCTACCGCTTGCCTGAAAATAGAGAGAATTATCTGAGTAGACCCAGCGCAGTCAAAAACGTCGTTCACTTTACATTCGTGACCAATAAAAAAAAAATATAGAAGTCCATAACTCCTTTTTCAATGTTTTTCCTAACTAGGTTGTCGTAAATGCTCTATTTTCTGCCATACCTGGTATAGCCAATGTGCTATTGGTTTCCCTGTTATTCTGGTTGATCTTCAGTATCCTGGGAGTCCAGCTTTTCGCCGGGAAATTCTATAAATGCATAGATATGGATGGTGAGCGCGTACCAGCCGATTTAGTGTCAAACAAGTCCGCTTGCCTGAAGCATCCTGAAAAATATCGATGGGTAAACTCAAATGTGAACTTCGATAATGTCATCAACGGCTTCCTCGCTTTGTTCCAAGTTGTGAGTACTCCACTTGAAGGCTTTTCTACGCTATAATACCCATGATAATATCATATGTTACACCATTTCATACCAATCGGTGCCTTCAAGAACATTTCGCTGAAAGTATCGTAAAACCAAAACCACAGCAGACAAAACTTCTAACAGAGGAGGTTTCTAAAACGCTTGAAAACGTAACTGTTAAAATCGCGGTTGGTTTCAGCTTGCATCTGATTAGTAGAGAGGGTGGATCGTGTTTTCTTGGCCAGTGAAGGAGCATTGTGAAACGAAACATGGGATATCCCGGATTGTTTTCAACTCTCTCTTCATAATTGCTCTATATCTATCACGTCATCTTTGACTTTCAATAATAAATAAATCTGTTGACTTGCGGCATGCGGCATGTTTTTAATAATTGCTTCTCAGGCCCTCGTTTTAAAATGGTTAAAAGGCTAAGCGTTTATAGAATTTTGATAACTAAAGTCATGATGATATTTGTATTCTATAACGTCTTTTTTTAATACAGGCGACTTTTGAAGGATGGATGGAACTTATGGATGATGCGGTGGATTCCAAAGAGGTTCTTTATTTAAATGATTTTTTCATATTCATTAAACTCTAAAATATCAGAATTTAATTCTGATGTCAGAGAAAGAATAAAGCAAAACTTTACGTTTCTGCTGAGGATTTGAACTAATCTGCTCCTCCTATTTTGTCTGTAAGTAAGATCATCTCCATTTTAATGGAGACACTCCAAGCTCAAAAGAGGAAAGTAATAAAATTATTGTGCAAATATACTTGCTCAGTTTTTTCTAAGCCTTTAAAAAACTGTTACATTTTAACCCTCTGGGAAGATAAATTTGTTCTCTTCCTTAATTGTTCTGATCGGCACGACATAATTTAGAAACGGGTGACGTCATTTTATTTCAATTCTGTTGGATCGTGCAGATATAAGAGGCGTACTCAGTTTTGGCAAGTATGAGCAAGTCGAGCATCTTTCTCTCACTTCCAATTGTTGCGAAGTCGACCCTATAAGATTAGATTAGATCCATTCGCTCTCACGGAAGGCTAACGCTCAAAACGTCAGCTTAGAAACTCTGTACGGTGGCCAATGTACATTATCAGCTCAGTTGATAAAATTAAGTTTATATTGCCATAATCCCCCACCGATGCAGCACCACAGTTTCATTAAAAACTTATCCCCTTTATTCACCACTTAGACTAGGAGTCCAAAATGGAATCTATCCATTAAAAGTGTGTTGAAAATTCATCTCAGATCTTTTTTCTTGTTTCGTGGACAGTTTGCGCAGGTCGTTTGTAAGAAAAGACGACTCGACTGTTCATCTTGTTTCTTGTGCTCGTTTCAGGTCGACGAACAACCTGCAGATGAGAGTTACCTTGGTGCTTACTTCTACTTCGTCATTTTCATCGTTATGGGCGCTTTCTTTGTGCTCAACTTGTTTGTTGGAGTCATTATCGACAACTTTAATAGTTTGAAGAGAAGAGTAAGTACTCCTTAGTGAATCGTGCAACCTCACAACCATAAAAAACACTATTGTTATCTTTCTTGGATCCCCTGCCGGTTTACCTTTCCAGTTGTAACAGATCTGTAAAACCCCGTAAGCTACTTTTTTTTTTCAAAAACTACAACAGCCGGTTTCTGTTTCCATGATATTTACAACTGATTTACCGTTTTTTTCCCTCGAAAAAAAGCCGGCCTCGAACAAACGCCCGATCGGCAACCTTGAAAATTAAATATTCACCGGCCGTTGGTCGAATAAACACGGTATTTGGTGACCGGCTCCCATTATAAGTCGCGTTATATTTATTAACCCTTGCCGCTGACGTTTTAGTATGACGAGCTGAGTTACATGGGGATGCTACTGACCGACGCCCAAAGGAAATGGGTGGACATCTTAAAGGAATCTGCCAAAAGAAAACCACCAGACAACTCAATCAGACCACAGGTTTGCACTCATTACTGTATCATAATTATATATATTTTATTGCGCCCGAGTAATCCCTTTTCCGAGACCTGGTTGATACACAGATCTAAAACAATATGAGACATGTCATCAAATAGATGGATTTGTAAGTGTGGAAAATCCAAATTTTTTTTTTAAAAAAGGTTGCACCCAGGAGTTTTCAATACGTACAAAAACCACACCTTATTGTGTTGGCATCATTTTTTTTTATTTCATGTTCTAGATCTTGCGCAACTTTGAAAAGTATTTCTTCTTTTCTCTGTTTCCAGTCGCTAATTTAATAGTTTGGATATATCAACAAAGTTGAAATGGTAAATTGGCCACCGTAACGATTACAAAAGCTGACGTTTCGAGCGTTAGCCCTTCGTCCGTTAGCCCTTCGCTCCGACGAAGGGCTAACGCTCGAAACGTCAGCTTTTGTAATCGTTGCGGTGGCAAATTTACCATTTCAACTTTGTTGATATATCCAAATTATTTCGTTACTCCCACCGATGCAGCCCCAAACGGTTTCTTTCGAAACTATCAGCCTTTGTTAATTTAGTAGGTGCTTCAAGGTTAGCTATGTCCGAAGCTAATTGTTTAGAACCTAAATTCATATTTGAAATTGACCTTAATAATCACTTTAGGTTGATCTGAATTTCATTGGTTTAACCGATATTCTTTCGATGAAGTAATTATTCATTTCCCCTAACATAAAGGGTTTTCAACGAACGTAACGCTAAGTTCTAACATGTGATGGGATAAGTAACAAATGGTAAACACCACTGCGTACACCATTGAGTTATGGATGTCCGCGGAGGTTGCTAAGCATGAAAGAAGTGTAAGAGTCGCGCGAGGCGATAGCCAAGAGTAATTCTAGCTTCTTGAGTACACCCGTGGGCAAATGGTGTACACTAAATTGACCAATCAGGGCGCACGCTTTACTTTGGTGATGTTATAATACACTGTGCTTATAATCACAGAGCAAGATTCTACAACTTCTGTATGACCTGGTAACCAGTGAGATTTTTGAGATGGGAATACTGGGTATGATTATATTGAATATGTCAGTTATGATGTGGCAACACTATGGCCAATCGGAAGCGATGACAACTGCACTTCATATCCTTTTTGTATGAGAAAATAAGATGATCTGTAATGTTTTACTGTTTATGAAAGTTGGTAAAATACAGCAAACAATAATTAACAATTCTAGTTAGATTTGACCCGAAACTTTTAAGTTTTTATCTCATGTTGCTAATACCTGTAATACACAACAAAATCCTGGCAAAATTAATGAATATTATCGGAAATGGGTGGAGGTGTAATCTTTACCAAACATAACAAAAACCGTTTGTTGACATTTGAAAATTATGGACGAGTCAGCATGATAATATTCCTTAACAAAGCCTGTGACACCTGTGTCCGGGGAACACAAGTTTCCAACTGGATATTTACAGCGGTCTTTATCCTTGAAGCTGTAATGAAACTTGTTGCATTACGCAAGCGTTATTTCACCAAGGCCTGGAACATCTTTGATTTCTTCATTGTAATTACTTCAATTATTGGTAAGCAACAGAGCAAAAGGCACTAAGGTGGCAAATACTTCCCCCCTATAAATTCAGGAAATAGTTGCGTATCTTTGTCCTTATGAAGAAATACTGGAACAAGGAAAAATTGAGATACTGAAGGGTGTGACTATATCCTCTCAATTAAAAAAGTCTTTCGCTTTTCCAAAACATTGTGCGAACCCATAGTTTTAAGGTGCACGTGTGTAGATATAAGTGCCTATTGTCATTATGTCTTCTTGTATTTATTAAGTTTCGTTTGAAATATCTTGAGTTTGCGTTCTATCTTTGTTACCTCAGCAATAACTTAGTGAACACTCAAAAAAAGACCCGTGAAGTTCTTTATTTTTTTACGTGAAGTGTAAAATTTGAAAGCTTTCTTTTCTTCTCACGTTGTACTATTTGTTCAATTTTCACATTTTTTTTTCTGATCAATAGAGTACTTATCAAAATTGTTTGTCGTTTGCATTAAAGGATTAGCGATGGACGAACTAACCACAGGAAACAACAGTATCATGAACCCAGGTCTTCTCCGAGTCTTTCGCGTTGCAAGAGTAGCCAGACTACTAAGAATTCTGCAGTTCGCAAAGGGAATCCGTCAGCTTCTCGTAGCATTGATAATCTCATTACCAGCCCTCTTAAACGTCGGTACTCTGCTGTTTTTAGTCATTTTCATATACGCCATCATTGGAATGTCAACGTTTGGTCACGTAAAGAAACAAAAAAGCCTGGACAATACGGTAAACTTCGAGACTTTTGGCCGGTCTATGATGCTGTTATTTCGCTTGTCTACGGGGGCGGGTTGGAACGACATTTTGGAATCACTTATGCTTCGTGAACCCGATTGCGATCCGGACTATGAGGGATTCCCGAATGGTAACTGTGGGTATCCCGTGGGGGCAGTCATTTACCTCGTATCGTACATTTTCATAGTTTTCCTTATCATTGTGAATATGTACATTGCTATCATCCTAGAGAATGTAAACAGGGCCCAAGAGGGAGGGCTTGTTATCAAAAAGGAAGATCTAGACAGCTATTATGAAAAGTGGGCATTGTTTGTGACCGATGGAAAACAGTATCTTCTCGTTGATCAAGTGTCGGATTTCGTTGCTCTCCTCAACGAGCCTTTCAAAATTCCGAAGCCAAACGAACAGGAGCTCGTTAGAATGGGAATCAACGTTCGAATGGGGTATCGGGTTCAGTGCTTTGATCTCCTTCGCTGTTTAGTCAAGCGTCTTTTGGAGCAGAAAGGCGAATCACCACTCGCCTTTGAGCAAATAGCGTCTAAGTTAGAAACACATTTTAGAAGGCGGGGAGTCAGAAAAAAATCCCGCATCAGCAAATCTCGCTCAACTTCCAATGAAATATCTAGTGAGGAGTTTAACAATGTGTCCTATGCCGATGAAACTTTAAAGGAAGATGGATCAACTCCTGCTATCACAGCAGCAGAGAGCGGCAGCGTTTCGGAAAAAAATGATTCTTCTCCCAAAAACAGTACTCCTCCTCGCACTAAATACCGTGATCCAATTTCTACAGCTCTGATGTTTCAAAGCGCCATTAGGCGCTTCTTGGACAAGCGCCGTGCTCGTGGGACTGTAACGTTCCCTATGACAAATGGTTTCTCCAGTGAGAGTGTACAGAAATGTTCTTGCAGTCCGTTGTCTTCAATCTCAAGCGATCAGGAAGTGGGCGATTTCATGTTCGGCCTTGAACTAACTCCCGGAAGTAGATCTCAGATTTCTTTTGACAGTGCGCATGGTAGTAACTCGCCAGGATGTTTATCTTACGACCCATTTGACTCAGATGGCGACAGCGTCTAATAATGACTTCATCATGGTTTAACAAACTTAACAATTTTAAAAAGAATATTATAAAACACAATGCCACTAGCTCTCGTTCCAGAATCCTGGCCTTAATGTAGAAGGGGAAAGTTAGCTTCTTTTGTCCCAGTGAGGCCTTTGAAGCCTTTGAGGACCAGGAATCTGATTGAGGGAGCTAAACGAGGCAAATAGATAAAGGTATCTACTCGAAGGTGCCGACATTAGCTTTGGAACTAATGGAATGGGAGGAACAACACAGCATGGAGATAGAAAACCCTTCGTATCATAACTCCAAATATAAAGAATGAAAAAATAAACGCGTCTGGATCTTGCTCGGCAATCGAGTTCTCACTTTTTTTTAAAAAAAAAGTTCACTGAATAAATTAGATTACCGGATTAGTTAAATTCTCTAAGCAATATTAATGGGGACGCTATTCTTATTGTTATTGTAATCATAGTCACATGATCACGCGACCCCACAAGCCCCCAGCTTTAAACCTCATCGTGTTTAGATAAAGGATATGATTGATTGACTGATTGATTGATTGATCTCCTCCTCATTACGTTTACTTATGTTGAGCCATGAGCTATGAGAACTTAAAACTATATTCAACATTTCAAGCGACTCCAACCCTAAATTTACGTAAGTTTCAAGTTTCTAATTGCTATATTTCTAAAGGGCTCCAAGATCTGCAAGCACTTTAAAAGATTACAGAAGAACGATCTAAATCTGTATCTCTTTAGTTCTTCAGCTTTATTACCATAGCGATTTAAAAAACGGTGGATCAAACAAAAACAGGGTATCTCACTATTACTTGTAGACGGTTTACAAACACAAATACAGTTACAACACTCTCAGTGCAAACTTTAGTGAAACTACGTCACACTTATTCATTACTGTCTTGAATAACAACCAAAAGATAATCTTCATAAGGCGCTATGATTAATTCATTTTTCCTGGACTTGACTCGCAATATGATGAGCTCATTTTCTGGATCTATATCCCGTACCATGCTGCTGGCCATGGAGGAAAGTGTTCTGCACAAAGTGGCGTATTGAAGCGTGTTGGAGTTGTCCATGTCTGTCCTTAAAGGGATCCCCTCAGAGTTCACCACCATGGTCCCCTTTACACCTTTGTGGGTTTGTATACGTTTCAAGGCGGCCTCAGCTTGGGACGCCATGATTCTGCGAAGATGATAAAACTCTTATATGCATAAAAAATAGTTTGACAAAAATGTTCTACTCAAGTAAGGAGACACAATAGGGATAAACTTTTACTGATTAGCTATTAAGTCACTAAGAAAGATATTCATGTCGTATGTAACAGGATGGGATTTGGAAGAACAATTTGATTTGGAAGAACAATTTAAATGAACCTCCAAGATAAGATCACGCAATGCCTAAAATGTGATCACAACAAGAAACGCTGTCTAGAGAGAAATTAATTAATTAAAGAGGAATTAATAATTAAATAATTAAAATTAATTAAAGAGGAAACAATTAAGGGAGATAGAGGTCTGATTGACAATCTGCAACCAACTTTGTTCCTAAATGTAACCTTTCAGCTAGCTTTCATAACCAACAAAACCCGTGGATTTTCGCAATTGAGAGATTTGTCTGGGTCAATGTAGATCAGCGATTGTATCTGGGTGTATACATTCTTTCCTGCTTTTTTCAACGAATTTTGTTTCTTAAGCCTTAAAGTATATGCACCAACAAGGGAGTAATACATTCATGACAAGACGCGGCTCCAAATGTCCTATTAGCAAACGTTTTTTCAGACGGAATCACATCTCACTTTATTGGACCTAGTGTTCATCGACAATAAAAAAATTCTTAAAAAGAATCTGAATAGATGCATACTACAACCGAGTGACCACACAGAAATTTCCCTACCCCCCACGTTTGCGTTTTTAAAAGTCTGCTCAAATCTTTTCTTTCAATTCTTTTGGTAGCTTGGACGATGCGTGTTCATAAACAGACAAGTCTGATTAACGTGAATTCGTTAGCTGGGTGCATTAATTGGCCAAGCAATGAAACAAGCTGTCAATATTTGATAACTGGCAACTTTACGATGGAGTTAGTTAGTCAGAAAAAGCCAAATGAATAAAAATTTATTTACAATCTCTCTTATTCTATTTACTCAAATGACACTTTTGTCTTTTTCGATCCTAGCAGTAAGCATAATACCTGTCACATATGAGCCTCATAAAGACCTAAATCGAAATCTGTACCTTTGATGCTTAATCATGACATAAGCAGAGCATTGAAGCACAAAATGCAAAAGTCTGTGTTGCTCACATTTTCTCTTCGCCATACGCTCCCGACACAATGAATATCAATAATCTGCTTGCAAATTTAGTTTTTTAAACCCGACGATACTGAGCAATTTAATTTTCACATGAAAGGCAGGTTAATTATGAATTGTCCTCCAAAAACACAGGAAAAGTATGCCAATATATTTTAAGGATTTGCATTAGGGTTCTATTGATACTTGCAAAGTTGTATTTAGCTTAAAACATTCGCAATTTCAAAGTGTCCTTAAATTTGTAACAGCTCAAACTGCAAACGACTAATTTTAACATTAAAGGCAAATCAGTCATGAATTATTCTCTGGATTAACCTTTCAAGCATATGAAATGTCAATAAAAGCTCGAACACCAACTACCTTACTTGCCCTTGCGAGTGTCTGCTTTTTCGGTTAAAGGTTAATTTATCCGTACCAGGGTTATATTTCTTTAATTCGACGATATCACGCAAATTTTAATGCAATTATTATTTCCCCTTGCAATGCTACATACAAATCACTGTGGTGTTTGCATCAAAGTTTTCTTAACACTTACGAAGACAGCCTTAACTGCTAAAATTCATCCCTTTCAAAGCTTCCTCACTATGGCAACACCTGAGGTTGCAGCTGCATGACTTGTGGTTATGTGAATTAATGTATTTGACGAAAGGCTGGCGTATGTACGCTAGAAGGTTAACTTAAAATTGCAGAAATTACACTTTATTGCATTGCTTTCGGATTATGAAAGAAACATAATACAAAATGCGAGAGAATAAAATTGACTTTTGCATGAGATATTATCATTTTGAACTCATAACGAGGTACCAGGGACTCACACAGTCATGCACAGTTCCAAAACAATTGAATGTTGAACAATTATGCAAATAAATTTAGTTGTGATTCTGCTCAGCATGAACTAGAAATCTTATGCCAATCTCACCTTAGTCAATAATTCACACATTCTTATTCTTTAGTCCTTGAGAAGGTTACTTGGCGATTTAAGGCTAGCTGAAGTTGACACGTAATAAATTAAAATGCCTGTTCGACAGATTTAACTTACATCAACAACTAGACAAAGCAGACAGACGAAAATCACTAGCGTTTGATCGAGATTGTCGAACCACAAGTTCGTACGATGAAATTGTGTTTAGATAACTCACAAGGCTATGAAAGGAAACCCAACGTCTAATGGTAGATTGAGTTTTAAAGGAAAAAGTGAGCTCCTCTAAGCGTTAATTGTTAAACACCTGATGATATGTTCTTTAATGGATTATGCTCTGTCTCCCTGATTATAAAAGTGTCTTACCTGAAATATTTATTACAAGGGCTTGAACAGGCAGATTGCAATTCAGTGCGACCACTGTGCCCAGAGGTGATTCACTATGTACCGAAGGGAGGCTATTAATAATTGAAACGAAACATGTACGGCCGTTTTGTTTCGTAAATACACCTTTATTTTGTGCTGTGATGCGACAAAATGAAGACCTAAACAATGCGTGGACGAAAATTAGTTGTGTCTTTGTAGAGTACAAAGGATGTTTTTCTTCGTCGTTAAGGTAACTGTGCGCACTGAACCATTCGGGGCAATCTGTCAACCATTCACTTCAAAGTTCTTGCACATTAATTAAGTTTAAAATTATGTTGTTATGGCGCAGTGAGAGATGACTAATGTTGATGATGCTGAGGCAATTATCGCTGTAAATCGAAGATATCTATCAATAGCCTCTAAAGTTATGACCATTGAAAACCTGTGCATCTGAAACAAAAAAGAGGAAGAGGAAAAAGAGAAATAATAATTTTTGTGTCAATGTGCACACTTTGCGTGCTCCTATCATACACAACGCGTGCTTACTAAAGCCCGCTAGCGTGGTGTGAAACACACTTTAGAAAACAAACGGTTTTGCAAGCTTCTCAATGACAAGTGCGTACTCCTTTCTCTTGTCCGTGCCTTAAGATATGCGTGCCAAGCGTGCTGTGTTAGCGTGCTGTGAGCGCACTATCACTTTTAGCCTCAAGTCCTGAGGTTTTAGTTCATTACACGTTTGCATCATGTATGTAAAGTAATTTTTACAATGTTTTTATTAGCTTAAGTTATTTTAAGAAATAGAGATAACAAAAATTGTAACTGACATTTCATGCCTCATCTTATTACATGATATGGGGTATTACTCTTCTCGCAGCTTGTACAACAAGGGACAACGAAAACTCGCCTAGGTAAAAAGTGTCTGAGATAGATTTTCATCTCACTGTAGGAGTATTTTGTAAAGAGCAGGGTAGAACCATTATCCATCCGAACAGGTGAATGATGTAGACACACGTGCACTTTGCTGAAAGCCAACAATTAATATATTTGTAGAACTACTCTTGTATAGCTCTTACACTATGGATATACTTTGGATATGTCTTCTCAGTAGGAAGCATGCGACACCTCGAAATTCCACGGCTGGTTGTAAAATGTTTGGAATAAATTCTATCTTCTATTTGTTTTTAAGCCAGATCATATAGCAAACTTTTTTCATCTTTCAGTTTTTTTTTTTTTTACTAATTCAACAGAATAAAAATATCCTTCACATTTAGTAAATACAAATATTTTCAGTTTAGTTTATATCAACAGTCGAAGGAAAGCCGAAAAAATTAAGTCTGCGTTGTTGCACTTGTAACCATGAATTTTTTTCTAGTTCCTTGCTTTCAGTGAACTTTGAATAAAGAGTTAGCAGTTGAACACCAAAATATCGCTAACTCGCCGAAAACGCTTCAAAATGGCCTGAGACGCAGGTAATCAACAAAGAAAACAACAAGGCAATAAGGTAAGTTCAATTTATTTCAAAACAAGACATTTTTTCTCTCTTTTAAGGCAAACCGATAACATCCCATAGAATTCTTTATAAATATAAAACGTTGCGAAACACTGTAAGTAAGAGCCACGTCCGCTTTTCCAAATAATGAGCTTGGGCTGCCTGTGCCTTAACAAAGCTTTTCCTCCAAGTGTAGTAATTACCACATCATTTGCGGGTCTATTCAAGAAATTTCTTCGCGTACTTCTTAAAATCAGCCCCTTTTGTAAAAATGAAACTCTCTCTACCATCACTGGTGTATTTTCCGTGACGTAAGCCTCAGGAGAGTATGTAGCTTGGTCAGGATTTTCACCCTGTTTGGATCAGGTTCAAAATTCTCACGATTAAACTCCTCAGCAGGTGACATAAAAGGTTAAAGTAATTTGGCCACAGATCTCGCAAAGACCGACGTATAACACCTGTCCTCATGTCCTTAGCGTGAATCACCCTTCTGAGTTTAATTTATCACGTTCCGGCTGTCCCTAAAGGGATCTAATTTTTGCCTTTATTGTCCTGAACAGAACCTTCCATCGTACGTTTACACAAACATTTTTCCGTGGCATAAATAAGATTCGAGTTTAATAATTCGTAAAGAATTTACACATTTGTGACACTAATGAATTTACACATTTGTGACGCTAGTTATGTCACAAGATATCATTGAACATAGCAACTACAAATACGAAGCAAAATGGTGAAATATTTTATAGTGCACGAATCTGTTGAGATTTTTTACTTATCGGCTAAAGGATAATACCTTTTTTCCAGTTTGCCGATCTAAGGATCATGTTCCACAAGACAGACTCAACCACGCGGACATTTGTTTTGGTGAGTGTACAAATTTAATATTCAAAGGAAGTTTATGTGATACGCACCACAAGCTTAAAGTTAAGATTCTCTTAACCTTTTTTTTTTTTTTTTTTCTCAACAGAGCATATTGGTGATCCTCTCTCCAAACACTTTAGGTAAGAAAATGTTAAGGAAGTGGTTGGTCGCCTACAAGTCAATGTTAATTCCGACCGGATTCTGAAATTATTTCATTTCGCCTTTTTCATCGACTATTAAGCATTATATTTATAGCATTCTTTCTTTATATTAGGAACCAAGACTACGTGAATTTTAACTCAGATAATCTCTTCATTCGACGTATGTTTATCTACAGAAAAATAGTTCTTTATACCTTTTATATGTGAAAGCCATACCTATTCCTGTCTGAAGGTGGAAAGTTGTCGTTTGAATTGTGACTGTTTGAGCGTGAGGAAAAGAAGAAAGAACGAACTTCGTTCAAACTCCCGCTGAGCTCTGTCAGGAAAGATTAAACTAAGTTTTCTTACGACTCTTCAATGGAATCCTCTGCTACGAATTTTAAAAAGGTCCTTGTCAACATTTCAGCCACAATACATGGAAATGACAAAGAGAAAGCTGTTATGTTTGTTATAAAAGTTAAGATGATATCCCTTGAGTATAGGGAATTAAATCAACTTAAGTTTTCGAAGCGGCGGTAGTAGGGAATAAGCCACTACAGATGATACATATTCTGCGAGTTTTCACGAGCACTTCGAAATTCGTAAAAAGATGCGGTAACGAGAGCGTAGATATTCGCATTTTGCGCCGATATATCTTTTCACGTTTCCTCACAAAAAAACTTGAGTAGAAATCCTGCACGATTTCGGACACCTTCAAAGACCAGTGTGTAGCCACTGACAGTTGCTTCTGCTAAAAACGGCACATCTTTTGAGTCCTTGCTCTAGAGATGCAGTAAATTTCTCTTTTCGTTCTGTCTTGCATCTGATGCAAAAGATGAAATTTGGGTTCACAACGTACCAATTGCATAAATATCTACACGTTATGTCGCTAGCAAAATTTAATGAAAGAAATCCGCTGATTTTAAACATTAAAGCCAATCTATTTCCGCGGCAATGAATTTGGTGCAGAAGTTTGGTCTTGTAAGATTACAACTTCCCCAAACATCGTTTGGCGTGCTTTCGCTTTGTTTTACTTTGTTTTCTTCTTCTTCTTCTTCCTCTTCTTCTTCCTCTTCTTCTTCCTCTTCTTCTTCTTCCTCTTCTTCTTCTTCTTCTTCTTCTTCTTCTTCTTATTATTATTATTATTATTATTATTATTGCTATTATGATTTTTTTCCAGGAGACATTACTAGTCTCTATGACGATGCAGACCACTACTGGGATTTTGAACAAACACCAGAGTCACAAATCATTGATAAAATGACTGGAGAAACAGTAACAATTCACGGATCTCCAGAAAGTCTTGACTCGCCAACGGGAAAAGGTATCTATCTTCAAGGAACAAGGGAGAATTCGTCCATAGACCTCCTAAGGGTCAGTAACTCATCATGTCTCTTCGATCCTTCAAGCTGCACAGCTGGTTTGTCAATCACCATGTTTTTGAAGTTTAGACGAGGTGGCGAGCGAAGCATCAACCGTACGCAGATGTTTTTTGGTAACAGTGCAGGCACAGAACTCCGGCAAGGGGTGTCGATCTTTTACGACGAGGATAGTGGATTGTTCAATGCGACTGTTTTCGGCAGCACAAATTTTTGCTTCAGATGGTTTGAACTGGTCGTAAACTCGTGGACGTACATCCATCTCAGGTGGAAGAACAGCACTGATAATTACAAAATGCTAAACGTGACGGTGGAGGGAAATGTACATCCGTCTGGTTACTTTACATGCGGTCCAATAACCTCTCCACTGCCCACAGAGAGAAACTATAGCCTAGGACATGCGGCTTTTCCTGTGGCCTAGTTTGATAATGTAGCCATATGGCATAGGGATAAACCACCCGACACCGCACCGTGGAGTTACATCACAGGTAAGCAAAAGGAAGGGAAAATGTGCTTAGAGTATGAGCCCACAGGTGCCGGCATCACATTAACAACTAATCATATGATCCTACGTAAGAAGAGGAGGTTTGGAGAGGACACAGATGATCATATGATCGTCTAATGGTATGATCCTACGTAAGAAGAGGAGGTTTGGAGAGGACACAGATGATCATATGATCGTCTAATCATATGATCCTACGAAAGCAGATTCACAGGATAGGACACAGCCTGAAGCGCTCCCCTCTGAATCTGCCCATGATAGCATCACCACCCTCAGCAATTTGTATGTGATCTAATACAAAAGTCTCAGAGATTAGACGTAAAATCAATACTGTTTCCTGAGTGGACTAATTTGAAACTGAGACATACCTTTCTTCAGTATATATAAGTCTGAGAAGCTTTTGCTGATCAATCATTCAAATTTTGCTGTCCAATTCCTTCCCTTTAGTCGATACGAGGTGCAGCACCTGTAGTCCCAACTGCCACCCCACTCACCTATTTTCTCCCCCTTTCAGCTACTGATTATGAGTGACTGTTACAACTATTATAATAGTCATTGCAGGTGATATCGAATTTAATATCATGGTCAGTTAATAACCTACTTTGACTTTCTTTGTAGATTTTGGCGGGAGTACCACAATTTCACTTAAAATCACCCTTGATAAGCCATGGCATCCAACCCTCAGCAACAATGGTTCGACACAGTTCCAAAACTTAAAAAACGAAACCATCAGTCAGGTAAAGAAAATGCAATTGCTCGAAAGTTCGAAGTAGACCTCTCCCCAAAACTACAACGGAAGTTTTACCTGAGGGAGAGAGAGGGGAAACGAATTTTTCTCTTATGAATTTTTTTAACAATGACCTGAATTAGCATTTGATTATCATTTTGGTTATTCAATCCCAGTTTATAATTGATTTTTACAGATTGGGAGCATTTATAGCAATAACAATGGCCTTGGCCACAAAGACATTCAGCAGTTTACGTAAGTATTACTGACAAAGCAAGAGAATATAAACTGAGTTTAAAGTCCGAGTAAATATGTTCAAGAAACCCACTTAAAGTTGAACTAGCCCACAAAAAATAGAAACAAATAAACAAATAACCATCGATGTTAATTCAACCTTAATTTTCTCATTGAGACTAAAAAGGGCTCCTATATTTGCATACTTTCGGGCAGAGGTGAAATTCAGTGTAAAGTGAAATTTTCCGCTAAGAATGCTGAATTTTTTTGATCTCCAGCTCTGAAAGCCCTGGCAGTGTGAACGTATTCATTGAACTCAAATTTTTCCAGAAGACTTCATGGCAAGATAGCTTCGTTTTACAAGATTGTCTTGAGAACGGGCATTTTCTGGGGGGAACTATTGCCAACATTACGGATTGCGAAGCAGACGATGGATGTGAGTGAAAAAATATATTTTCACCATGTCAACTTGTCATCATGTCACAATTATTTCCTATTTAGTCTTACTTCTACAGCTTCCTTGTTACCGTCTTTGCTTAAGCTAATTTTGCTTTGAGAAGATTTGATGAATGATTCATTTTCTCTGCAAGATGCTCAGTGTGTTATGGATGTACATGCAATCAGCCAAGATATTTTTTTTTACATCAGGTTTTCACTTCTTACCAATTCAAAATCCACGTCTTTACAATGATATCATACCTATTTTTAAATTTTTCCTGACCATTACGTTAACCTGCTGTCTGTTTAACAGGCAAGTTTTCTACTGAGGTTGGGTCATCCACTGAACAATAGTATACCCGATTTCAACGTAAATATTCCCTGGAAGTTAAAGTAGCTCATGACCGACAAAAGGACACGCATTGACTGCCAATTTCTTCTCTGGGGTGCGGAAAACTTTCAACATCAAAATGGAGAGTTAACTTGTAAGCACTGACGCTTTCTTGTATCCAACAGTTTTTTGTGAGCAACTTAACATCGTCGCAGACGGTAGTGACATTGGTCGAAGGAATTTGGGAATATCTTTCAACGCCGTGGAAAAACTGAATCATCATAAGCATCTAATGGGATATACCGTGCTGCACAAGAAAACAGTCAGCAACGACCCATGGAAACCACATGATGTCCGCGGAGGCTGGCCTCACTCTCACACAATTTCTGGCTTGAAGCCCTACACAAACTATTCTGTTCGCGTCACGCCGTATTCCTTTAAAGCCGCTGGTTTGATAGGACCAATCACTGTTCTGGAAACAGCGGAAGATGGTGGGTGAATATTTTGAATTCTTGTTCTTCAAACATTTTGGAGTTGGGGAGGGGGGGAGGAGGAATTCAAACGTTGAGGGTGCGCGTAAGATTTTTTAAAACGACTTAACAATAAAAGAAATCGAGCCAAGGCTGATCATACAGGGTGCAATACCAGTGCTTGTCTATTGCAAGTTACCTCTAATATGAATGTGTTTCATCGTCAAATGCCAGTGATAAGGGAATATCCTCTTTATTCCACGACCAAAGATGTAATCAGCCAGATTGTTTTTTTTTGGGAAGTAATGTTTAAGTTTAAAACAGATAACTTCCTTCATGACTTCTAGACTTCCCCACCAATCAGAGTCTTTCCTTACAAAATTACCGTTGGATTCAATACTTTCCATAACCATACACACCTTTGTTCCTTATAGTGCCCGCTAGAGGTCCCGTCATCCTGGAAGCTTATAGTATCAACATGACAAGTGTCTTTGTACGATGGAACGAAAGCAGCATCCCAAAAGATGACTGGAACGGAATTCCAAGAGGGTTCCGCGTGCATGGACGGGGAAAACCATGCAAGGAATATAATGTGCCTTCACACGATGTGGGGTTAAACGTGTCTTCATTCATAATCACTGGTTTGCAGGCTTGGGTGGTGTATATAGTTAGAATCAGTGGAGTAACAAGCCCAGGACATGGGGCGGCTTCTGAAGTTCGAGTGAAGACGAATGACTCAGGTATCATTGTCCATACATAGCTCGGCTGTTCAAAAGAAAGAAATACGGGTAAAAGTAGATAAAAACTAGAATAACACCAAAACAAAACAAAAAATACTGGCGGACATTATCTTCTGCTTTGATTGTATTGGTTTGCATTGATTTCTATCTGATTCTAGTTATAATGATGAGTATGTTTACTGTCTTCAACTCCCACAGTTCCTTCTCGTGGGCCTCAAAAAATTCGTATCACCAACACAAGTAATCACAGCGTGAAAGTCACGTGGGATAAGGTGCATATATGTCGCGTACACGGACCTGTCGTGTCATATGAGGTACACTTTCGAGATGTGCAGGGTGGGAGCTCAGATTTAATGCACAATGTAACTGTTCCAGCTGAACAGGAGCGAAGGCTAGACTTCACCAATTTGGAGATCTACTGGGAATATGGAGTTCGCATTAAGGCTTTTACAACTTTGGGAGTTGGACCATTGAGCAGCGAAGCCACTGGGATGACTGATGAATGGGGTTTGTGCAAAATCATGCAACTTCTCTTTTTTTTTTACATAATCAGAGGAAGAGTGAATGTTGAGGTATGACGACCATCTGGAGGGAACGGACCTGAATTTTTCTGGTTTTCGAATTGTCTAAGAGAACAAGATTGTAATAGTTGATGTCAGAGAATACATGGCTCATAAAGCTCATAATAATTGTTGTTCACGGCTAAATGAGCGGAACGTTTAAGCAAAGGTTAGATTTTTTGAGACTATCTTACCCGTCTCTCCCGTCGTATTTCGAAAGAGAAACATCCACGAAAATATTGCCCCCCCCAAAAAAAACAAACAAACAAACCACAAACAAAAAAACAAATAATTAAGTTTTGTAAAAAAATAAAAGTTAGGGTCATAGGCTATCAAGAATTTGACGAGAAATCCTTCGACGAGTGCCAGAGGTATAATGTTGTTCTATGAGTAACGATAAATGAAAGCTCACTAGTCCTTGTTTGTTTTTATAGTGCCAATAGTGGCTCCAAGCAATGTTATCCCTTCTGAACCAGAAACAACAAGTATAAAATTGTCGTGGTATTTTGAAAACAACGTGCGAGACGTTCTTGGCATTTTAAAGGGATTCAGAATCTTTTACCAACTTGCTAACAGCAGCACTGCACCGATACAACAACAGGAAGTAGAGAACGTTAGAATGGCTGACATAACTGGATTAGAGATTTACAGGCTTTATAAGATTTCAGTGGCTGGGAAAACGAGGAAGGGTCACGGGGTGATTAGCGAACACGTGTATATGCGTACCTTGGGTACAGGTTAGTGTCATCCAACTCTTCCTGCATCCATCCATTCATCCATCCATCCATCCATCCAGCTCTTTCTTTGTTAGACACCGAATTGGATAAAGTAAAATCCGTTAAATGTCTTGGTGTAGACATCGATGAGTATTTAACTTGGGATAGCCACATGCTAAGTATAAGACAGAAGGTTACCCGTAATTTGAGCGTTCTAAGAAGGGTTAAACGTTTTCTAAAAACAGAAAACCTAATTGACATTTACAGGTCAATAATTGAGCCTTACTTTACATATTGT